GCGGATTAAAGCCAAGATAGTGCCAACTTTTGTAAGTGTACGGATACACTATGCACTGAAGTTTCAAAACAGAGAGCTACATGAGGCAACAGTGAAAAGAAAATGCAGGAAAATGAAGAAAGTGGGACATGAATAAGTACAAGTCCTGCATCCACTCCCAGCCAAGTCCTGCATCCACTCCTGGCCAAGTCCTCTATCTACTCACAGCTAAGTCCTGCATTTACTCCCAGCCAAGTCCTGCATCCATTCCCAGCCAAGTCCTGCATCTACTCCCATCCTAGTCCTGCATCCACTCCCAGCCAAATCCTGCATCCACTCCCAGCCAAGTCCTGCATCCACTCCTAGCCAAGTCCTGCATCCACTCCCAGCCAAGTCCGGCATCTACTCCCATCCTAGTCCTGCATCCACTCCCAGCCAAGTCCTGCATCCACTCCCAGCCAAGTCCTGCATCCACTCCCAGCCAAGTCCTGCATCCACTCCCAGCCAAGTCCTGCATCCACTCCCAGCCAAGTCCTGCATCCACTCCCAGCCAAGTCCTGCATCCACTCCCAGCCAAGTCCAGCATCCACTCCCAGCCAAGTCCTCCATCCACTCCCAGCCAAGTCCCGCATCCACTCCCAGCCAAGTCCTGCATCCACTCCCAGCCAAGTCCTGCATCCACTCCCAGCCAAGTCCTGCATCTACTCCCATCCTAGTCCTGCATCCACTCCCAGCCAAGTCCTGCATCCACTCCCAGCCAAGTCCTGCATCCACTCCCAGCCAAGTCCTGCATCCACTCCCATCCTAGTCCTGCATCCACTCCCAGCCAAGTCCTGCATCCACTCCCAGCCAAGTCCTCCATCCACTCCCAGCCAAGTCCCGCATCCACTCCCAGCCAAGTCCCGCATCCACTCCCAGCCAAGTCCTGCATCCACTCCCAGCCAAGTCCAGCATCCACTCCCAGCCAAGTCCTCCATCCACTCCCAGCCAAGTCCTGCATCCACTCCCAGCCAAGTCCTGCATCTACTCCCATCCTAGTCCTGCATCCACTCCCAGCCAAATCCTGCATCCACTCCCAGCCAAGTCCTGCATCCACTCCCAGCCAAGTCCTGCATCCACTCCCAGCCAAGTCCTAGCTCCATCCACTCCCAGCCAATTAAGTCCTCCATCCACTCCAAGCCAAGTCCTGCATCCAACCCCAGCCAAGTCCTGCATCCACTCCCAGCCAAGTCCCGCATCCACTCCCAGCCAAGTCCCGCATCCACTCCCAGCCAAGTCCCGCATCCACTCCCAGCCAAGTCCCGCATCCACTCCCAGCCAAGTCCCGCATCCACTCCCAGCCAAGTCATGCATCCACTCCCAGCCAAGTCCCGCATCCACTCCCAGCCAAGTCCCGCATCCACTCCCAGCCAAGTCCCGCATCCACTCCCAGCCAAGTCCCGCATCCACTCCCAGCCAAGTCCCGCATCCACTCCCAGCCAAGTCCCGCATCCACTCCCAGCCAAGTCCTGCATCCACTCCCATCCTAGTCCTGCATCCACTCCCAGCCAAGTCCTGCATCCACTCCCAGCCAAGTCCTGCATCCACTCCCAGCCAAGTCCTGCATCCACTCCCAGCCAAGTCCTGCATCCACTCCCAGCCAAGTCCTGCATCCACTCCCAGCCAAGTCCTCCATCCACTCCCAGCCAAGTCCAGCATCCACTCCCAGCCAAGTCCTCCATCCACTCCCAGCCAAGTCCTGCATCCACTCCCAGCCAAGTCCTGCATCTACTCCCATCCTAGTCCTGCATCCACTCCCAGCCAAATCCTGCATCCACTCCCAGCCAAGTCCTGCATCCACTCCCAGCCAAGTCCTGCATCCACTCCCAGCCAAGTCCTCCATCCACTCCCAGCCAATTAAGTCCTCCATCCACTCCAAGCCAAGTCCTGCATCCAACCCCAGCCAAGTCCTGCATCCACTCCCAGCCAAGTCCCGCATCCACTCCCAGCCAAGTCCCGCATCCACTCCCAGCCAAGTCCCGCATCCACTCCCAGCCAAGTCCAGCATCCACTCCCAGCCAAGTCCCGCATCCACTCCCAGCCAAGTCATGCATCCACTCCCAGCCAAGTCCCGCATCCACTCCCAGCCAAGTCCTGCATCCACTCCCAGCCAAGTCCCGCATCCACTCCCAGCCAAGTCCTGCATCCACTCCCAGCCAAGTCCCGCATCCACTCTTAGCCAAGTCCCGCATCCACTCGTGGCCAAGTCCTCCATCCACTCCCAGCCAAGTCCTCCGTCCATTCCAGTAGTGCGGCCATTTTGGTGAGGGAAAAAATGGGCCTACATGTTTCAATAATTTGCTGGCCATGATGAGTGCCTATTTGGCAAATTATCATTTACTTATTTACGGATAAATACACTGCCAAAAAATTCCTCACGAAAAAAATTAAGATAAAGTGGTTTTGGAAAAATGTTGCAATGTGATGCCACTTCTGCAATTCTGAACAAAGTCTATGGAGAGGCAAGAAAACTTTTTAATTATTTCCTCAAAATTGGAAATGTTTCTCAGTCCCAGATTCAAGTCAAATATTATTTTTGCAATGAATGACCTTCATTGAGATGACATACAGTGGCGTCAGATTGCAACACGTTTTTACGTGGTTTTTGCCAATAGGCCTACCATTCTTATTTGTAAACATGTCATTTTCTTGGAAGTCTACCCCCCCCCCCATGATTTAAGGAACATGAACAAAGGAACAACCCCTCCGCCTGATATGTGCCCAATTTCCGGACGCCAGCATGATTAATAGTGTATCATGTTTATGTTCATGATACGTGTACATGTACATTGTACATACAAAGAATGTTTCAATAATTTGCAGGCCACATACAGTGTATTTAACTTTATTTGTGTGATATCCCTAATTTTTAACTGTATAAAGGTTTCACTCAAAAATTTTAACATAACCGGTGTATTAAAAACTACAATTGTTGAGGCCTTTTCCGACACAAATTTTGTTTGCTCACAAACTGAATTATTATAAAGATTTAATATGTATTTGTTGTAAACCAAAATGGCGATTGAATTTGAAACAAACACTCCGTACAGAAAATCAGAAGCGGTTGTGGCAAAAAAAAAAATAAAAAATGTGTCTATGTCGTTATCTTTTTTTGTTCCTGCGCACCGGGGCCAAATTAAGGCCGTGGGCAAAAACCCCAAAGGAGCCGGGCCCCCCTAATTGTATGTTAAATAAAAGGACAAAGCATACAGATCTGCAGATCACCGTCAGAGGTGGCAGCAAGTCATTTTTTGCAAGTCCAAGTCAAGTCACAAGTCATTAGGTCCAGTCACAAGTCAAGTCACAAGTCATTAGGTCCAGTCACAAGTCAGGTCACAAGTCATTTGGTCTAAAAACAAGTCAAGTCACAAGTATATTTGTCCAAGAATACGTTAAGTTGCACACGTTCATTGCACAACTTTAGATAAATACAACATGTAGCTTTGAATGAGACAGGAAAAAAACTAGTTATAGTTACTATTGCGCAAAAGAAACCGACACAAAACGGACGCCCAGTTTACAATTGTAGTTCACTCCATTACATGTATGTTTATTTCGTAAAATTCAAACATACAGATTGAAAATTCGTCAGCAGAAAAGAAAATGCTAAAGAGCACAGGAAAGGCCAACCTTGACCCAATGGCATCGAGCAATGCCATTATGCCCAACGAAAGCTTACCAAAATAGTTTTTCCAAGAACCTCCAGCTCCCCCCTTATGGTTGTCAATTTTTTTTAAATTTTTTTTTAGTCCCACGATTTGACCATGGTGATATATGAATGTGGCCCATTTTTTTGAAAAAAAACAAATTAAAAAAATATTTTTTTTTAAAAATCAAACTCAAAAATCAAAAAAAAATGGGAAAAAAAAGTTGTGAGCCGCGCTCCAGGCCAAAAAAAGGTGCGCCAGTGATGGCAAGACACGCTCGGCTGATGAACTCTGGGAACCTGGCAAAACGTATTTAAATCTCTGAAATGAGCAGATTTGGACAAAAATCCAACAAACAAAATACACATGTACCAGAAAACGGACGTTTCAATTATTCATTCGGCAGATGTTTTATTTCTCCACACAGTCGATCGAGAAAACAGTTTGGCATAGAATTCACAATTAAACAGCACATTATCATTATCTGTCTTACAGACTGCATAGTAAAAGTATGTGTAAAACGTAAATACATGTACCAGCAAACATTACATGTTCAATTCATAAATGTACAATTAATAAAGGAATGATTAGATAATCCCACAACTTTCCAAATAAATACATCTTTGGCCATCACCCCCACCAACAAAAAAATATGTAAATCCTCTTTTGTGTGGTATTTATAATGGGGGGGGGGGGGGGGGGAGATACCGTTACATGCAAAACATTCAAAGCCAGTCAAACACACCAAATTCTAGATATCCTTGCACTGATATCCATTTGACCATGCTCGGTGACGTAGATTATATCCCAACCAACAAAAAATGCTGGATCCTTCCTGTCATATAATTTAACCCATCCCTCCTCAAGAAAAGGATAAAAAGCAGTCACCTCCATGTTACATTGGTCAGAATTCCTCCTCCCCCCTGACATTCCCAAAGACATGGGCCCAATAGCATGGTTCTGCTAACCACAGAATTCTACGTTTGCGATCACCATTCTATGCCAACAGAAACATTCTATGCTAACCCTGTAAGCACAGAATCCTAGTTGCGAGTTGTACGCATGCAGATAAGCCAAAATTCCTCACTCAACCGTGATATCTACTAACCATAAGCATGGAATTTTCTGCTACAGTAAGCAGGGATTTTTCGTGAAATTCGGCCAAGACATTTAAGAGGCAGGTGACAGAGAACAGGGTAATTCGCTCTTTTCACACTCCGCCATTGGGCATGCTGAGCCTTGATCTGGCAACTTTACACAATAAAAATAGCCGGTTCAGTGATCTGAACCCCTACGCGGGAATCACTGAACCGGCTATATTTACTGGGTAAAGTTGCCAGATCGAGGCTCTGCATGCCCATGGCGGAAGTGAAAAGAGCGAATTCTAAGCCCTGTTTGATGTCTCTGCTTATCATAGCACAAATTTCTGTGCCAATAGTTGGAACAATTCAAAGGGCTGAGAAGATGTTTGGCATGTGATCCAGCATACATCGTGTTATCAAATGTTTATACAAGTTCATGTGCTAGTGGTACAAGCACAATATGGTAACCATAAACACATAACTCCGTCATAAGCTGAGCCATAACATTTGGTAAATCACGACATATATATGAGACTTTCTGACAAAATGAGACAGAACTAGGCAGAAATCGAAATGATGGTTTGCAGATATTAGGAAAGAGAATAAAATTCTCCTCACAATGCTTTTTTTGCACCTCAATCGGACTTTCCATTGACAAGTTATGGCTGTTTAAAGTTCACATCTATCAACATGTCAAAAAAGTAAAAAACTGAGAAAAAGCCCATTAAATGTTCGACTGTTTAGTAGTCGTGAAAATGAAAGATGCCAATTGTTTTTCATTAATAACACTTTGATTCAGTGATTTTTATACTGTTTCTTTAAAATATATGTAGAAGATATCAAAGATTAGAAATATCAATAAATCTGAAAATTAAAAAAGAAAAAAAAAACACATTTTTTTAAACATATTTGACAACTATATATGGCCTGCGCCCAGATCCATCTCATTTTGCTAGAATGCCTCACTTTTCATATACATGTAAAAGGCTTTTTTAATCCATATCTGGTGTATGACTCAAGAGACACAAGAGGAACTCAAAATTTTTGTATTCTGATATATTCCTTATGTCCAGTGCAAATCTGAGAAGAATATATATATATTTCAGAAAAAAAATGCTGTTTAAAAGAAGTTAACAACAAAGTCTTTTGTTTTCTTCTCCAGCATCTTGGCAAATACTGGCAGAAATGCTGCTCGGACGTACTTTGTTAGTCATCTGTCAAAATAAACTTGGTGGTATTTCTGCAAAATAAAAAGTATAAATAATGGGTAAATATTGCCACAGAAACAAAAGCTCTTTCTTTCCAGAAAGTACTAGAGATGGTCTATATTGCCATGGAAACCATCATATTTCTTCACCAATGGCAGTACTCGATGTTGGTGTGTGTTGCCATGGACAACCAAAGAAGCTCTTGAGATGAAGTTAGTTGCTATGGAAACCATCATATTTCTTCACCAATGGCAGTACTCGATGTTGGTGTGTGTTGCCATGGACAACAAAAGGAGCTCTTGAGATGAAGTTAGTTGCCATGGAAACTACCTCAGTACAATGTCTTCTCGTATTCGGCAAGTTTCCGTTTAAGCGTCTTGATTTCTGCATCCTTTTCAGACAACTTGGCATCCTTTTCAGACAACTTGGCATCCTTCTCAGACAACTTGGCATCCTTCTCAGAAAGCTTGGCATCCTTCTCAGAAAGCTTGGCACGTAAGTCCTTGATGATCTGATTGACGAAGAACAAAAGTTTGTAAGTGATAAAATACTAATATTGGATTTTGCCCAATATATTTTGCCTGATATATAGATAAGGGTCAATAGCACAGTACAGAGGTGCAGCATGTCAGATGTAGATGGCGTTGCAAGTCTGCATGATATAGCAAGGCAATTGTTGAGTACTGCGATTCAGGGCATAACATTTTTTTTTCACCCTATCAAGGACACATAGCAACCTCAGCTTTGCCTTGGTTGCCATGCATCCCTCAAGTGAACAAAAATATCCAATCCCACTTCAGTCAGCAACTGAAGACTGATGCTTTAAGCCCCGCCCCTTGATGTTTTGACCAATTACAGCCCTGTTTAATATTCCAAAAAGTCTGATCTGCATAAACACTTCTGTATGCCACGCCCCCGTCTGGAATATGCATTGTGGCATTGGAGAGGTAGACGTGTGGGCCATGTGGCAGCTTACCTCATCCTTGGATAGGAAGAGTGGTCCCTTGAGGACCTCCCTTGCATGGGGTCTATGGCAGCTATCGCAGTGGGTCAACTGGCCAATGGTCTTATACTGGTAAAGAAAGAAAAAAAAATTCTCAGGTTTGAGTTAATTCAACATTTGAAATAGTTAGGAGTGACTAACGACATAAGTCATTAAAAGATTGACTGTTAAACTCCAGTGTGGACCATATGTAGTTCCCACATCTCAGGCTCTGAGCCCAACAGACCACATTTTGTTTAAAATCGGTTAAACATCTGTGAATGGTTGTGAGCCAGCTAGTCTGGTTCCCTGACCTGACAATTCCCGACGTCTATAAATTGTTCCGTTTTTTTTTTTTCTGAAGTAGGGTCAGGGAACCAGACTACAAGAACAGCATGTTTTATTCTTGATTTTTCCCAGCATCCATGAACAAAAAACTTTAAACAGGTCAGCGTAACAACATTTGCTATAAAATACTAAGCCCCAAATCCATCCATTTCGGAAAATAACAGCAAAAGCAAATGTTGTACATTACCTAAGCTGCATAAATTTACATAATTCCGCATGGTTATCTCCCGGTATTTGTAAACATTTACTGCCTAGTGATATGCCGCTTTCGATTTTGACTTTTCGTTACACTCCTTCTGTAAATAGGCCTAAAGCATGTCAGATGTTTGAAGATATATCTTGTAGGCTCAACTCACCTGATCCGGCCATTTTTTATGAATTTCTTTTGGTATGCTGCCATCGCGGACCTGGCCAATGACTTTAGCACGCTCCATTAGGGTTGCAAAGGGGTGGAACATCTCAAAGAGGATAATACCAGAGCTGTACATATCAGACTGATTGGGAAAAGGAGTCACAAACATGGAAAACCATTAAATTTATACATGTATGCATAGTGTTATCGTTGCTTTTGGGAGTATATAGAGTTTTCACCGAAGAAGGTACAAGCACAATAGTAGAAATAGTAAATACCATGCGACATTTTCTCAGCTAATCAAGGGACAACAAACACTGGTGAGGTGTTTCATATTTGGTTTTTACCCTTTACCGATGTTATTTGTATACTCACTGTTAACCGAGGACTTGCCAGAGAAAAATTGTTGTGGGTTCGAGTCCCATTTCAGTTCTACCTTGTCAATTTGTCCTCACAGACCCTCGGAAACACTGAGTATACAGTCTTCAAAATATTATATCAGTACAGGGCAAAAACCCATCATTAAATGTATACCTCCCGGATGCAGAATGGTGAGGTGTTATAGTCATCAATTAAAATAAAAGGTTACATAATTGTTGATACAGTAGGTGTAGCAATAACCACTTTGGCTCCAATATAATGGCACACACCTTGCAATCATAGTTGGATCCTTTCAGTTGTTCTGGTGAGGCATAGGTGGTTGTACCTACTGCTGCTGTATGTGATGTAGCTTCACATCTCTCCGCTAAAGAAATCACACAAGAAATTACAGTGTTTTTATTTCATTTCTTTGTGCAGTTTTGCTGGTCCCAGAGGGCCGGCATAGGGTCCTCCTAGTACCTATCTCACTGACTGACAGCCTCAATGATTGCCACTTGTGAGCCAGGTAGTGCTTTCCCACAACACCAACAAAGTCTTGGGCGATTCCACGCAAAAGTGGACACGGCTGGAGAGTGGAAATTGTATGAAATCTTCCAAACTACAAGCATCACAATATCAAATGTGGTGTCAAGTTAAAGGGGGCAACAAGATCTTTCATTTGAGTGGTGTGCCGATGAGAAGGAATGTAGTTAAATGTGATTTTGGGTTAAAAAAAAACCTGTTTTGGGGGCTAAAATCATAATTTTTGGGAGCCATTTTGGTACTTTGTTTTAACGTATCTACCAACAATTACGTACTCGAGGCGCTAAAAGGCTCCAGAGAATATTCTGAATCAACTGAATAGAATTTGTAGTGGAGTGCTGTGGCCTCGTGGTTAAGGGAACTGGATTCGTGGTCTGCAAGCAAAGCTGCAGGTTGTGGGTTCGAGTCCAGCCTGGGGTCATGGTGCGTGTGCCCTTAGGCAAGGCACTTTGTCACTCATTGCTTCTCTCCACCCAGGAGTAAATGGGTACCTGTGAGGGCAGAGATGGTTATTGTGATTGAATTAGCTTGCTTGCGCCTAACAGGCAGCATCGGAGCTGTATACTCCCCAGGGAGCTGAGATGGTATTTGGAATGTTTCATGTGCCCAATGAGCAGGGGTAATAATGATGTAGTGCCTTGAGCACCAGTCCTGGTGGATACACGCACTTTATTAATACCCACTATTATTATTATTAAACCGGTACGATTAAATGTACCATTGAGGAGACACGTTATCGTAATTTCTTCGAACGGTGGGAGACATCGATCATTAGTCACAATTTTAGAGGATTGTAGAGGCACAATTTTATTGTCACAATTAGGTTATATTTGTTGCTCGTGGTCTAATTAGTAAAACAAACCGAAATTCGTGGAAAAAGGACAAGGGAATATTGGGTTAGGGCACATTTCAGTTTGAAAAATTTTGTGCACAAGTCTATGGGGATGTCTCCCAAGTAGGGAGACATGAAAATGTCTCCCTAATGACCGATGTCTCCCATCGTGCGAAGAAATTACGATAACGTGTCTCCTTAATGGTACCATTACACGTGTAAGTATCATTATTATTATTACTAATTTTGTGGACTCTGGGACCAGCCATATATTAGGCTTTTTTTTACACAAATTTTGAAAATGCATCACTGCTTTTCTACAATGTAAATTTTCTGGAAAAGGACTGAAATAGATGTAATACATACCCCAGACTCCATTAGGAATATCAGGATCTGATGTCATGGTCTCTACCACAAAATCCTCCTTGGCCAGACCAAAGTCACCAATCAGGACTTGCAGGTCGACACTGGATTCCTCCAAGAAGATATTCTTTGGCTGAAAGAGGACATGCACACAATGAAATCAACTGTAACTGATAGCTTAGAGCACAGTTTTAGATAACAATAATAATGTTAGAAAAAATATTGTGCTCCATTCAGAAATCATAACTTGACCAAAGCATTGGAAAGTTCAGTACGCTTGCACGCGCAAGCGTTGACACGATGCACATGCGTGCACAGTTGCTGTAATTTGTCAGATCAGTGTGCGACATCGCGTATAGCTGCAATCGGCTCAGTGAGAACGCGTCTCAGACGCTGAATTCAGGCCCCATTCAAAACATGATTCAGCAACTTTTGATTTGAAATTAAGATCCTAGAATGCTGTTTTTCTCGGAATATACAGCTGAAGCTGAGCTGAAACTTCATCAGGTTAGTTGTTCAGTACCCTTCTTTAGATTTTGAGCACTTTTGTTGCTTCAAACGAACAAAATGCACAAATTACAAATGATGGACTATATCTTTAAAGATTGGTGGTACAGTGGCTGTCTCCTTACCTTGAGGTCCCTGTGTATGAGACCCTGGGAGTGGATGTAATGCATACCATCCAGTATCTGCTTGAAGATGTGCATGTTGTCATGGGTGCTCACAACATCTAATGAGTCTAAGAGACGAGAAATAAAAAATGCATTCAACAGAAAGCAACAAAGGTAAAAAGTTCTTGCATACTGGTGCATTTAGCAGGCAACTCAAGTCCCCGTGCCTTGTTGCATCTTGTTGCATTTAGCAGTTTTGGGGGAAAATCCCATTCAAAGTTGATCACCGATAAAAGTAGTCGTGCGGCTCATCGCCAAATTTTTAAAAATTAAACCTACTCTCCATTGCAAAGTAGAGCAATTTTAAGACCCAATTTCATCAAAATTTCACAGAAACAAAAGCTCTCACTACATTTTGTGCACAGTTTCCACCCATCTGTTTTTACGAACTGTGAATTCAAGTTCATGGTCCACAGAATGCTCTAAGAGCATAGAAATTGAGGGCATACAAATTGTGATTTGGCCCGCGTACAGGTCTGCATCCTCAGAGTATGGACTCAAGTACCCCCTCAACGGTGAACAAGAGAGAGTGAAGGACATTTACATGTAAGCACAAGGTTGCACACTCCATACCAAACATGTTTGTTTTACATTCCCTAATGTGGACATTCCTTTGTTTTCGTGTAGTTTAGAAAACCAGTGAAAATAATCATTTAACTCACACTGTGAATTTCTTTCAACCCAAATTTTTTTCCAAGAATCCCTTTAGATCAACCTAACCCCAAAATACCTCTAAACCTGTTTTCCAGAGAGGGGAAAACCTTCCACACAACGTCACTGCTACCTGGTTTATGTGGACATCTTTTGTTCGAAAGTCCACACAGTGAATGTAATGCTTGTACATTTGTACACAAGTATGTGTGTATGCATGATATGTCCTTCACGCACTCTAAAGGTCCCCAAACAAAGAAAAACACAAAACTTATTACGCATTCTTATTTGCACTTCAGATGCTTAGTGAGAAGAACAAGAACATGGACAGTCTTTAAGGTTCTTACCCTTGACAGCATCTGTCTTGGTATTCCGATCTCGGAGCCAGTCGGACAGGGTGTTGGAGCACAGCTGCATCTGGATGTACAGATTCAATGTGAACACAGGGAAGGCGTTGACGCTGGGCACCAGACTCAAAGTCTGGGGCTTGTCCGGTATGCCATCCTGGCTCTTGGATCTGTGTCGTCGCCTCTGCCTGGGAGCTTTTGGTTTGGATGCATTGTCTGGCGTGCCATCTAGACTGACGATTTTACACTTAGATTGGATCTTGTGACCAGCTGGCTGCAGTTTGTTCTGTGGATAGCCTATGCTGGGCAGCTTGGATCCGAATGCACCGTGCATCACATCCCTGGGAAGCAACCAAGAGTTTTTGTTTTGGTCTGCCGGAAACTTACTCCGAGTGGCAGAGGCTACTTTGAGTGAACTGTTCATGGGATTTTTTGAGGTTTCGATGACAGGCACATCTAGTTCCTTATCCTTGACGCTCACAGTATCCTTTTTATTGAAGTCTAGGACATCATTTGGGTTTTCCCCACGACTGTTTTCAAAGGATATCTGAATATCAGAGTACTCGTCTTCGTCAAGGTTTGAATTCTTCGAATCCTGGTCTTGGAACTGTATGTCAGATTCGGAGAAGCTGTCCTGCTCGAACCAGTTCGTCTCTACTTCAGTCGTCCTTGACTCCGAATGAAAAGAATGCTGCCTTGTTGAGACTGACTGGGAGCAACACGTCTCCTGGAACAACTCTTTGCGAGTCTGATGAGACGAGTGTAGATGAACGTTAGAGGTCTGGGTCTCTGATGTTGACACTGAGACCATCGAAGACCACGCACTGACGGACAATTCTGATGTAGCTGTGAAATCTGTTGAATTCTGCATCAGTGAGGCTCTTTCAGTTTCTTTTCTTAAATTTGAAGGTGACTCACTGTCGAAAGACTGAGAATGATGAGATGCGTCCCCAGAGCAATGCACCCTGGGAGTTGTCGGTGAGTCAACGAGAGTACTGGTTGAATCACTAGGACTACGACTAAGCCGGCTGGGGCTACTAGCCACGGAATCCGTATGGGGATATTGTAAGTACTGGCTTAAAGGGGACAGTTTGTCATTGTCTTTCCAAATGCAAGGCGACAGTTGGTTACCGATGTCCTCAATCTTTACTTTATTCTTGTCCGTCGTTGAACTTTCTTGCTCGCTGGAACTTCTAGGGCTAAAGGATGAAAAACAAAATGAAAACAGAAAATCAAGAAGCTTGAGAAAGAACAATTCAAACAAACCAACAACTTGATTGAAATGGTAAACCACATGATAACACTAAATGCAGGTCGACAAGTTTTGCCCTTTTCACTCTGAAATTTTGTCCAGGGCAATTAGATTTTGAGCACTTTTGTTGCTTCAAATGAAAAAATGCACAAATGAAAAATGATCTACCTACCTTTAATTTATACTGTATCAGCTTATATTTTAGTATATTTGTCAGACTCACAAACAGACTAGACTTCAACACTGCCTAGCGCTATTTACCTTTCACTGGATGAGAAAGGGAGACATTTCATTGGGGAGACAGGGTCACGTCTGCCCCCTCCTTGGAAGCTGTGTTTATGATTAGAGCTTGCTTGCTCAGCTTCGATCCAGGACGTGTTATAGCCAACAACGTTGGGATGCTTAAGACTAGCTAAGAGCTGAACTTCCTTCACAAGCTAATACAAGATGTGGAGATAATGGTGAAAACATCTTTGGAAAAATTATGGGGGAAAAAACCCACAAAAAAACATTGGAAAAACAACTGCCAAAAAAAGCATTCAAAGTGGCAGCATGGTTGTGCTTTAATATGTTGTTCTTAAAATTTCCAAATAAGGAGATTTTTAGCACTACTAGCATGAGGCACCTAGATATGGCCGGAGAGGTGTTACACAAAACCTGAAGTAAAATTGTTGAACAAAATCGTTAGAAATCTGTGAATTTGTGACTTGTTCTGACTTCTTGACCGAAAAGTATATTCATGAATGGGAATAAATTATGTGCTTGGCCGCTACATTTACGAGTACATTATTTTTAATTGTCATTATCCAGGCCCCTACCAGCTTTTAAACGTACTTGTTTAAAACCAGCCAAGCACAATTATTTAAAGTATTTACAAAACGAATCCAGAATTGAATGCAAAGTAACATCCTTGGTAAATGACTGGAGTCCTTCTCATCATATGAATTCAACTTAATACTTATGTGTGGGATGAAAGCCTTGCTTACCTTGAGTGACTTCTCAATATTGGTCGGTTTCAATTTGATCTTCTTAATGGCATACAAACGCTGGTCCAGCTTGCTGCGCACCTGTGGACAATTCAAAATGTTGGCATGAATGAATATGTGACGTGTCATCACAAACTGAGCTTAAAGTCGAACTTTGCAAGAATTGGGATATTTGTTTATTTGGATTTATAGCAGAACAAGAGCTTTCCAATGTATAAAGACTAATTTTCTAGAATAATGGTCTAATGAACATATTTGGGATGGCACAAAAGCTTATATAACGTTTGTAGAAAGAAGAAAGCTCGGCTCACAGAACCCCCCCCCCCCCGCCATAGCCATCCCGTCATACGTATATTGGAATGTTGCAACAGCGCCCTCGCATGGTTGTGCACAAACCCAATATAACAGCACTTCACACAAGGCACAGGACCTGGGCCTAATTTCATAGTGCTGCTTAACAGCCAACTTTGTGCTTACCGAGCCTCCATCTATTTCATAGGAACCGTTAAGCAGTAAGCACAGCAAAAGCACGCTTAACCCCGGAAGACAACGTTGCTTAAATCAGTGACGTAACAATAGAAATCTCCATGTGCGCGCAACCGTTAGCATGAAATAGTGCTTAAGCAACAGCATGATTTTCTGTTATAGTAAGCACAACTGTTAAGCAGCGCTATGAAATTGGGCCCTGTTTCTGACCTTGTACACTCTGCCAAAGCCTCCTTTGCCCAGCAAACCAAGCTCCTCGAAGTCCGTCTGATACCGCGTGGTGTGAGAATAGATGATCTCCTCCTGTGTCATCCTGGGTAAGCGAAGTAAGGGACTCTGCATCTGGAGGAAAACCGCCGTCCTCTCCTGTTCCGTGCTCGGCAGTGAAAGCAAGCGAGGCTGTGTGAGGAGTAAACAAAATTAAGAAGAGGCAAACCTGGGGACTAGAGTGCACAAAATTCTATTCAATGCATTCACAGATTGGTTACTCACTAAGAAGTCCTATATTATCCTGCATCTAATGTGTACAGTACCCTGGATTTAGCCTGTTCATTGGCATAACAGGGTTATCCTATACAAAAGAACTGCCCAGGTCACAAGTGTGTCGGGGAGTCGGGGAGTCAGTCAGTCAGAGAGTGAGTCAGTCAGTGAAATTTTCCATTTTTTTTTCTTCACTTGATTCAAATCCAACTTGACGTAAAGGAGTCTGCACACAAAATGACTTTGTTGTTCCGGTCTGGTGATACACATTATTATCAGAAACACGCCACAATACCAATTTCCTTGATACCAAAGCTTGATGACATAAGAGCCTCGAAAAACTCCCTTGAATGTAAATTTTTATTGAATAGCCACGATACGAGATATGCAAGTTTTTTCATCTCCACTCACTGGACCGTTAATGACAATACTTCTTTTGACGCAATGGTAATAAGTCAAAGAATTCACTTGCAAGTGTGGATTCTTAATTTATGAATTCATTAGGCGCTGTGAACATTTGAACTGTGAACATTTGAAACGGCCGGGAAAACCTCAAGTTTCGCCTGTTGCACTTACCTCCGTGTCTGCCTCTTGTAGGTGTTGTAACGTAGCATGCATCATCTGTCTGAAGACCCTAGTATAATCAGCTTGCACTACACTGAATGTATCTATCACATTTAGTGACGGTAAAAGCTGGAAGAGGGACAGGAGGAGAAACAAACCTTCAGCTCAATAAATTCCACTTGACATTTTGTTTAACCCTGCTCCTAATAGAACTGTCACAAAATACAAAAAAAAAACCGACAGGGCTTTTGATAGTTAGGGTGACCTTGAATACTTTTACTGCAAATCTACAAGACCATACAGGGCTGCCACATTGGAAGGTGGGTAGTGTGGTCTTGTGGTTGGGGTTCATGACTCATGATCAGAGGGTCAGGGGTTCGAATCCAGCTGCCATATACATTTTAAAGGAGTACATGTATACATTTTAAATTGGTACCGGCACATACAATGTAGCTGGGGAGTAACCTGCGATGGCCAGGCATCCCATCCAGGGTGAGTAGAAATACTCTCGGCCGTTTCATGCCACTGAAACCGGAGATACATGTAAACACTGGCCTGATGGGCCACATTGGCTTGTAACAGCCGTTACTTTACTACTTCACTTTGAAGGTAAAGCAGTGAAGGTATATCTTGCTCTGCATTGTATATCTTGCACTATCTATGCACTACATTTGGGACAAAATCCCCCTCTGTCGTTCAAACTGTCCTACATGTATACTGCATCTAACTGCAGGGTGGCAATCCTTACGTTCAGTTTGTTCATCTTCTGGCAGATCAAGCGGAACATCGTGTCTTGTTTCTTGGAGTCTTTCTCGTATGCGGAGCAGACTTGATGCAGTAGGGACAGCAGCATCCCAGAATGCACCATGCTCTTGGGGTCCATCAGGGCCCCAACCGTGGCATCCGTGGCCTGTAGCTCATCCTCTGTGGAAGAAAAATTACTCACGTGGTCATGTCTAACAATTGAAATAAAGGATTCCTATTTGTTGAACATCAGTTGGTGCACGGAGCATTTTATAGCTCTGTGGTTGGTGCATGTGGAACACCCAATTTGTGTGCAGTCGTACAGCTAGTGCCACCCCCAATGCGAAATGAGTGACCTCGATACTAGAGTTTTCAGTACAAACATCTGGATTTTGACTCTAGTGACCCAATTTTCCATGTTGTGCAATAAACTGGTAGCCGGTCAGTGAGACCTACTAAAGTGTCACAACACAAGGCCATGAACCTCAGGCACATGTTGTTGCGAGGGCCTCAGGGACGAGATGACGTCTGTTGTTATGAACTAACTAACTAACTAAAAGAGAGACACAAGGACTTCAAGAGATGCTTGTCCACAGCCAAGAACCAGCAAAGTACAATTAGTTGAATCATGGCCATCACAACCATCTCCTCAAAATGTGAGATTAGCAAGGCATGAGCCTTTTTTACTGTTTCAAAAATGAGGCTTCGACCTCAAAGTGCCCCTGACCTGCAAATTTAACCTTAGTTATGCCAATTAACCTGAGTGGACCTTACAATTCAACTTGACCTCGTATCTAATTATATTATTCCGAAAACTCCACCCAACTCAAAAATTATTTTGACTGAAAGTTTGCTGTTTAAAGATGGACCAAAAGTTGAAAAGTCAACTGTGCGTGCAATACAGAAGTGCTATGCTCAAACTAGTAAGACAATAAAAGAAAAACAAGGCAAACAAAGAGACTCACATCCCAACTTTAATACAAACCAGACATCCTGTAATTACTCTTTGCAAACAATGAGCCAATTATCAGCTAAAAATGATGCCCTCTAGAAACACGAACATTTCATCATGTTCATGTGTTTGTAAAGTTTTCACAAAAGCTATCAAGGCAATATCATATTTCATAAGAAATAACCAAGAAAAGGCTAATAAAAGGGAAAAGGTAAAAACATGACAATCTTACCATCATTGTCATCGAAGTCGCTGATTGTAGACAGGTCTGACATCATTTTGCTAGATGTAGAAGCTCTGGAAACTAACCTGCGACTAGACTGTCACGTACATTGTGCGTACGTGATATTGAAAGTTCTGCAAGAATATGGTGAAAAAGTGGTCACTGGAAATAGCTGGAACATAACATTACTGAGAAAAAATGTTGCAACCTGACGCCACTTTTTTTTCTCCACTTTTTCAGTCAATGAGAAACATTTCCAATTTTTTCCCCTAGTCATGCTATTGGCACAATATTTTCCTTACTCTCCATAGACTTTGTACACAATTGCGAAAGTGGCGTCAGGTTGCAACATTTATTCCCATTATAGTGTATAAGGTTGACAACGTTGTACAACCACAACCAACCTCCCCCCCCCCTACCCCTCTCCCCAGCCCTTCCCAGCCCCCCCCCCCACCCCCCCCCCCCCCCCCACCCCCCAAAAAGCCCAAACATGCCATGGCCTAGCTGGAGTTACCCAGCCCTGAGTTTTATCATTGGGATGACAACCCAATGATAAAACTCAGGGCTGGGTAACTCCAGCTAGCCATGGCCAAACTCTGACTAGTTTGAGTCTGAGTGATGCCATGGCAGATTGAGTACACTTAGGACACTTTTAACATCTGAACTAGGCCCGTAAGCCAACAGATTTTGCATTAAAATAACACGTGGAAGAAGCAATTTCTCGAACAGTCTGTCTGAAATCTGACGTCGTCTGCTGCCACCCGAATTACATCATTGATATTCATTTAATTATTAACTTTTGTATTTAGCTTTATTTATAAATTTAGGTAACGTTTTTATTTAAAAGAATGCAAAAAAAAAACCATGAAATTAAAATATATTTTTAATCCTATTTTTTGATCTAAATTAATGAATATTTTCTTTAAAATGTAAAATTTAAGTAAAGAAAATCGAGAACCTTACGCAGAAAATAAATGCATGACTTTACAATGAATCAAAGATGGCTGCGCCCAGGGGAAGTCCGGTTATTGACAAGGAGAAGAAATATGATCGGCAGTTAAGGTAGTATTTAAGCATTTGCTGTTTTTCTTTTGCAGATAAAACAAAGATGTGAAGTTTTTATTTTCTTAATCAGTAGGATATTGATGAAATATTCACTTTGTTGTTATAATACAACCCAGAAACTTATTACCCGGTGTCCGGAAATTGGGCACAAATTGTTAACGTTAAGGCAGTGGATATTTTGCCGGAGACGGCAAACCTTTAGTAAACGTTAGTTTGCCGGATATGCACTGAACATGCGCAGTTACTGTTTTTTGTACTTACACATTTTGCGGTGACAAATTTTAGTCTGGCTCCATGCCAATATTATCGTTGTAACCTCGATCGTATTCACAAGATGGGATTGGATTCAGACCATTTTATAATTTCGGACTTTATTTCCCTTTAAAAAAAATCCTCCAGAGCCACAAATCTGAAAAAGAAAATGTAATACTCTGCAATAAAATGTTAAAATAATAAAAGAAGAATATTCTTATTTATTTGGGGATGGGAAAAAAAACCTTAAAAATATGGCGGGGATCGGGATCGAACCCGAGTCATCCCGCTCACTAAAGCCTTTGCTTAACCACTACACCAAACGTGCTACACAACTTTTGGTGGGAATTTAATACATGTTATAATTCAGTCCTATCTTAAAGAGTACAGTGCCCTCTGTTTACTCCTAGAACTATGAGGCTCCACGTAGTGGAGCCTCATAGGTTCAGAAGCCCGCAAAATTGTTGTCAGCACAAAACACTAATTAAGTACAAAAACGTCCATCCCAAGCAGGCCGTTTTCCACAGAACCGCTGCACAGTTTGCCCCTAAACTCCATACAATACCTCATGACATACTCACGTTATGTGCACCCAACAAACATCGGTGGATTCTGTCTGTTTTTCGGCAAAAATGATGAAAAATATGCCCTTTCTGCACTGAGCCAACCTAACACTTGAAACGAGCACGCGTGCAGAATGATCGCAGTTATTTTCGGTTCGATCGCTCGGAGCGCGCCGCGGGGGTATGGTGTAGGAGCGGAACGATAGTATGCACATGCGTACAAGTGCAAGTACGTACCCCCCGCGGCGCGCTCCGAGCGATCGAACCGAAAATAACTGCGATCATTCTGCACGCGTGCTCGTTTCAAGTGTTAGGTTGGCTCAGTGCGGAAAGGGCATATTTTTCATCATTTTTGCCGAAAAACAGACAGAATCCACCGATGTTTGTTGGGTGCACATAACGTGAGTATGTCATGAGGTATTGTATGGAGTTTAGGGGCAAACTGTGCAGCGGTTCTGTGGAAAACGGCCTGCTTGGGATGGACGTTTTTGTACTTAATTAGTGTTTTGTGCTGACAACAATTTTGCGGGCTTCTGAACCTATGAGGCTCCACTACGTGGAGCCTCATAGTTCTAGGAGTACCCTCTGTTGATATGGATTACCGCCAGCAAATCTTTAGTAAACGTCAGTTTGCCGTCATTACCTCCGGCAAAATATCCACGTTAATCATCTAACGTTAATCATCGGGCGGGCGATCTGTAGAGTATAACAAATGGTACATCTATAGCCCTAGCCCAGGTTGGACTCCGTTCGTTGTGCACACGCAGCGTAGTCCAGGTTATGAATCTCACCTGCCAATACGAAAAAAATTATAACACATTTTTGGCATTTTTTTGCCTGACGGACATGACGGAGGAAGCTGAAATTTCGCTTTCATATTCCTTGTGTCCAGAGTTGTACCTGTGCTGGGTTTAGGAATGGCAAATATGTCCGTGGGCTGCATGTTTACCGAAAATAAACTTTAAATTCAAACCATGTAAAAGAGGCGTCATTTTACAGTACTTTTGAAGAACCAAGGCAGCTTTTACAAGCTTTCCCAGTGTTTTATCAACATTTTGAAAAGACCTGGCTTTGAAATTTACAGTAATAAAATAAACGCAGTGGCTATCCTTACGGCAGCGGTAACGCATTTCCCATTTTCTATCGTTACGGTACTGCAACTTTTATAAAAATATGAGAAGAACATATAAAATTAGAAGGAAAAAAAGTGAATTTGAACGTTATGAAATTCGGACTTTATTTCCCTTTTAAAAAAAAATCCTCCAAAGCCTCAGGTTAGCAAAGGAAAAAATTTCGAGTGCAAAACTGAGATGCGAACCCGCAACCTCGCGGTGCAAAATCCTACCCTCTATCGACTGAGGTATTGCACTGCTCACTAAAACGTGGGGAAACAAATAATTACATACCTACTTGCGTATCAAAAAAGTATCGTAGAGGGCGCTAAACAACGGCTTCCGTAACGATAGCCACTTCGTAAAATAAAATTCTGGGCTGAGAAATTTTTAGATTTTCATTAACAAATCAACAGGTTGTGGGGAGACCATGGTCAAGCAGCATTAGAATCAGCCCATGTGTGCCTCATTAATGCCACCGCAACAGGTACAGAGATCCTGAAGAACATCATCCTGCCTGGGATTGGCTCATTCTCCATCGTCGACGGCAACAAGGTCAAAGGTGAAGACATTGGCAACAAGTAAGTATGCACAATTCACTGGAACATGCATGCCTGATGCATATTAATTTAAGGGATACATAGCCCTTAAAACAAACAATATTTCACCTGACACGATCTTTGTGTAGACCCTTTACTTCCAAAAAGCAAACAGATAGTCATACATATATTTTGAATGTCTTAATTATTTTTCTCACTCTGTGATGCTTTTTCCATATTTGCAGCTTTTTCCTTGATAAGGACAGTCTTGGCAAATCCAGAGCACAGATTACCACTGAACTGTTGTTGGAACTCAACAGTGATGTCAGGGGAGACTTTGTGGAAGAAGTAAGACCAATGTTGTTCCAAATATAGTCACCCCGTAGAAAGCCAATTTGAAATCTGGCAACAGACATTTTTTTATTATTCCCCAGATTTGTTCAACCAAAACTGGTGTGCTCAGTCATTTTTTTTTTACTCTAAGTGCATTCTAACGTAGTGAAAGAATCTGACACATAACGTTAGTTCGTATTCTTCAAGTTGTTTTTGTGTTTGATTTCATCCTCTACCCCTTCTTGCATAATTGACCTCTCGCCGTTTGCAAGTTAGCCACGCCCCTTAGACAACCATATGGAGTTTTTGCACCAAGTTTTTTTTGTCTCAGATTTTGCGCGTTCTGCACCCATTTGTATATCATGTAATTGGACAATATTTCACAAGCTGCGTTGACGCGATTCTACCGCGATAGGTCAATTGCCGCAGGGGTGAGATTATTGAGTTATTGAGTTTGAATTTATTAGTTAGTTGCGCCTGAAAAAAAATGGCTGCATCGAGATGTAAGATGGTATGAGGAATTCCTTATTGGCCCAGTGAGCGGGGGTAATAATAATGTAAAGCGCATTTGATCTTTGATTAAGCCACCGTATCCACTATTTTTTATTGGATAATGTGCTTAGCACTTTGCTAACGTCCCAGTGAAACACCTAGATGTATATTAAGTAAGCGGTGTTGACGTGCCATGTTTCCAAATACTTAATGACAAAAGATTTCTTAAAATTCTTTCAGAGTGCAGAGCAGCTCCTGGAGAACAACCCCCAGTATTTTACAACTTTCAATGTTGTCATAGCAACAGATCTGGTTGAGAGGTAAATTTCCCAATGATATTAATATGTGTGATTTCGGTCATTTTGTCTTTATATTTGTCTTTGTTTTTTTACTTTAGAATTGTCTCGGTGTGATGCCTCCCTTGGTCATTAAATCAACATGTCCCAAATCATCATGGAAGTCAACAAATGTTATTGTTACTAAAATGTGCCTAATTTGATCACTTTAAAGAGTTCAAATTATTTTCTCAATATGTAGTTTGTCCTTAAACATGTTAAATTGAACAAAATCTTTTGCAGGACGTTGCTAGATTTAGCAGCCTTCTTATGGAATGCTGGGATACCTCTGCTGGTGTGTAGAAGTTATGGCTTCATTGGCTATATGCGCTTGGTAGTAAAAGAGCATACAGGTGAGCCTTAAGTCGTGTCTGATTACATGGCTATGACTGTCTCTAACACACACACGTCTATGGTGAGTGGATTCAGCCACTTCACATAGGGGCATGTGTAATGGCCAGTCATAGCCAAAGTATATAGTTTATATTCAGTGCTATCTGTTGTGCACACTGCAGAAATTCAAAATGGTATGAATTTTCATTATCACCAATTATATCAGTTGTATCACTAGTGAAGTAATACATTGAAACCTGATACGCATCGCAGGCTTCAATGTAAAGTATATCATTTGTCATTTGTGCAATTTCTCGTTTGAAGCAGCAAAAGTGCTCAAAATCTAAAGAAGAGTGCTTAACAACTAACCTGATGAAGTTTTAAATCTGTGAATGGTGTATACTCCGAGAAAATGATATTCTGGTATCTCAATTTTAATTCAAAAGTTGCCGAGTCATGTTTTGAATTGCGCCTGAAATCATCCGATTTCACATAGCTGCCGATTGCAGCTACGCGATGTCACGCACTGAACCAACGAATTATAGCAACTGCCTGTGCCCATGTGCATTGTGTCAATGCTTGTGCCCACCCATTCACGGCTTTGCCGAATTGAAAACAAGCTACAAACGGAAATTTCAAAAACAAATGCATTACTAAAAAAATGACCTTCTTGTTTTCTTCAAAATGACAGCAAGCCAGAAAGCCAATTTCCTAAACTCCCAAATGTGAAGTTGCAATCGCAAGTGGGTTGCTGATGGTACATACTTAAACCTTCAAAACAGACCAATGATTATGCACATTCTTTGTGAGGAATTTTCAAACAAACGTTTTGACTTTACAAATACAACGTGGTTTATTTCGGAAAAGTACCAAATTACTAGTCCCTCGGTGTTGGCTGATGTTGACTACCTCTCTCCGCTTCACTTCAGGAGGTTGTCAACTTGGCAAAACCTTACAACCAGTAATTTCACACTTCTTCGCCTCAAACCATGTTGTATTTGTTTGATACTCATGGGTGTAGATGGGGTAAAGTGGGGTAAAGTGGCTTGCTCAAGGACACAAAATATGGCCGGCAGGGGATTCAAACAACCAAGCCTCTGATCAAGAGTCACAAACTCAAAACCACAGGGCCACATTCCCTCTCATTCACAGTTACCGTCTCCAAAAAAAGGAAAAATTAAAAAAAACATTATTTACTTTGTTTGTTACAGTGATTGAGTCTCATCCAGACAATGCAAGGGACGATCTTCACCTTGACTGCCCCTTCCCTGGTCTGGTAGAGTTTGCTGACTCCTTGGACCTCAGTCACATGACCAAACAGGTGAGTAAATGGATTCTTTACATGAACAGTACATGGTATCAGTGTCATGACAACTCATTAGAAGTCCTCATGGTGGGGGACGCATTGCGTGCACGCACAATCCTTGTTCCCTAATTGTGGGGACCACACACCACTTCAGCGATAGTTATTATGGGGTCTGAAGCCACTATGGGGACAGCAGAAAGTCCCCATAACTCGGTCCTAATTTCCCTATAACAATAGATAACTTCCCCAATGCGGTGCTGGCCAGGGCACACAGCCTTACACACCACACAGTCGTGAATTTCTATACGCATGAGGACAATGCTTTGTGTTTCCCTTTGTCCTTGTAATGTTACACTCTCCCATAGACTGAGCAAATCGAGGACCGTTTTCAACAAAAGACCCAACGCTCGAGGACTGAAAGGATCTTTTGTTCTCCCATTGTGTGTCTGTCCTCTATCGTCAAGCCATACATGTACAGTTTTACTTTGACATCACATCTGAGAACAAGACATTGTGTTTCCCATAGACTAAGCACACAGACTTACGTTTGGGGACCTTTGTCAGCAAAAGATGTACGTTGAGGACAACGAAGAATTTGTTGTTTTGGATTAAATTTGTTTAAATTGTGATTATGACTTATTCTTGTCTTTGGTTTTATTTGCAGGAGCACATGCACACACCTTACCTTATCGTCCTGTACAAATTCCTGGAGAAGTGGAAAGCAGAGGTAATGTTGATCGTCTGAGGAGAGAACGTAGTAATTAGAACTTTATTTAAAAGAAAATAGGAGAAATTTTGTATGTGACACAACCAATGGAATGAGTATGAAATTGTGAGTTCCACCTTTGAGTTTCAAGCCTTGAATAAATCTTGCAAAATTGATATTGTAGTCTAAAAAAAAAGTCACAACTGTCCCCCTTAAAAAAAAGTCTCTGGTTTCTGGTCTGCGCACGATGTCTCAAAACCGCCAAACTCACTGGTTTGACTGGAATCCTGCTGCTGCACAATTTTAACGTGTTTTTAGATGGGGTTACAATCGAGTATAAGCTTTATGTGGCCTCTGTGGGCTCCAATACATTTTGCCCTAAATTTATTCGGGCACCATTGGCAGTCATCAAAAAAAAAAGTAAGGGAAAAAAACTAAATCCGCATTGCTGCAGCACTTTTGGGGCAAGCTCCATACCAGAACATTCTTCTTATGTTTCAGCACGGGGGAGAGATTCCCAAGAACTACAAGGAGAAGGACAGCCTTCGTCAGACGATCCGAGGCGGGATCCTGCTCAACGTGGACGGCGTACCGGAGCTGGAGGAGAACTTTGACGAAGCCATCAAGAGCGTCAACGCATCGGTGGTGGTGACGCGCGTCCCTAGCGAAGTGCAGGACATACTCCGGGATCCGTCATGTGTCAATCTCACGTCAGAGGTAGGGCCTCTGCTGGGAGAGCCAAGAAGTTCTCAAGTCCAGTTTTCTTAAATTTTTAATTACTCCAAACTTTTCTGGTCAAATTTTTTTTAAATTTCTTCAGTTCCTTATTCAAACATAGCCAAACCCTTCAAGGTAGCTTGAACTATTGACCCTGAAAATACTGGCCAAACACCAGCCCCTCTGACAAGAACCATGTTGTGTAATAAGATCCTTATAGTGAGTAATAAGATCCTTATAGTGAGTAATAAGATCCTTATAGTGAGTAATAAGATCCTTATAGTGAGTAATAAGATCCTTATAGTGAGTAATAAGATCCTTATAGTGAGTAATAAGATCCTTATAGTGAGTAATAAGATCCTTATAGTGGGTAATCAGATCCTTATAGTGAGTAATAAGATCATTATAGTGAGTATAGCCGGCCTCACTGCAGGGCATAGATAATTCTGTCAACAAGACTAGTCTACAAGCTCAACTAACTGCTGTTTGCAGTCATCTGACCACTATACAACCAAAATATGATAGACAAAAAATACTTGCAGTGTATTTCGACCCCCCCGCAAATGTGTACCGTAGTTGGGAGTTTGACCATTTGATTTTGGGTAAAAAAAAATAGCGAGGCGCAGGGTACATTTAATGCTTGTTTGGGGATATTGTTCACTCTAATTTAACTATACTAGGCTTAGCCTCTTTAGATGGATCTCAATGTATATAGGGAGTCCGTGATGTACACATTTCTCAACACACAAATTCTCAACCTCAGATTATGAAAAAACCTGGGAGTCTGATCAACCAAAGTGAATCATGTTATTCCTGTATACATCTTGGTTGTTTCTGCAGAGTTCTTCCTTCTGGGTGATCGCCCAAGCCGTCAAGCAGTTTGTGGATAACGAAGGTGGTGGCAAGCTCCCCTTACGTGGCTCTATCCCAGACATGACGGCCGACTCCAAGCGATACATCCAACTACAGAATGTGTGAGTTTACAAATACCGTATGGCTTGAGAAGAAGCTGTTCCAATTTGCCTGGTCCCAAGTTTTTGACAAGTGTTCATAGGCGAGTACTTTTATCCAAGTAACAAAGTACTGCCGAGTACGGAATTGTCAAGCAACCACTCGCTTGACACAGTATTTGTGGCATTTGGTTATATCAGATGTCAGCTGGAACATTTTGCCTCTAAATTTTCGGCAAAAATAATCCCTGCACGAAGTGGTTAATGTACTTCCTCTATAGTATAGTACTACCAAACAGCAGTGTAGCCAATTCTACTTCACTGACACATTCAAACAAAGATCCGTGCAAGAAGTGTATTTGGGGCATAAATATGTATAAGGTGAAAGAATTGATCCGTGAATCACATTTACATCAGTTGTGAAAAGACTCTTTGTGTAAAATCCCCTCTTTGAATCCTCTCCTTGTATATGTGATAAGTGATGTGTTTTGCTTTGACCTAAATCCCAGGTATATGGAGCAGGCCAAGCAGGATTTCGCAGCTGTTGCATCAAGGGTCCACCAGATCCTTGTCTCATTAGGAAAAGTAAGTCTGCTTGTAAATAGATGCTGCTGTTGAAGCAGTACAAGTTGAATTGAAACCACTCCCTCCAAGATCTTGAAATGTTGTTTTTAAGGGAACAGTTTTATTTTGGTACATATTCAAAATTGTATGTTTGGTTGCATAGTGATGGTATTGGGGTTTGGGTTTTCACACCCTCCATGACCCTCCCCCTTCCCCTCCCCCAGCTTTCCCTCCAGCTTCCCCCCCCCCCCCCCCCCCAGCTGCTCCCCCCCCCAAAAAAAAGAGGACAAAGGCTAGACGCCAATATTGAACTGTGAACTAAAAAGTGCCCTGAAGGACCTACGAGGCTGCAAGTCCTCGTAGTCATCACAAGTTATCACAAGTCAATCACAAGTCAATCTCAAGTCAATCACAAGTCAATCACAAGTCAATTACAAGCTAATCACAAGTCAATCACAAGTCAATCACAAGTCAATCACAAGTCAATCACAAGTCAATCACAATTCAATCACAAGTCCAATTCAAATGAACGGTGACAAAGGCATTCCTTTGTTATTGAGGACTTGTTTTTATCTTGGACTTGTGAATAAAATTGTGATTTACGTATGACGTATTTGTGACGTATTTGTAATGTACTTGTGATGTATTTGTGATTTACATATGACGTACATGTATTTGATTTAACACAACATCAGATGCACCTCATCAATGTGCCTACACCCCTTTTTAATTACAGACCCCTGATAGCATACCAGATACGGAGATCAAACTGTTCTGTAAGAACGCTCACTTTCTCCGAGTAGTCCGGTGCCGGTCACTGGCCCAGGAGTACACCAGGGACACATGCAGTTCCTCAGATATAGGTGAGAATGTTGCACAAAATGGTAGTCCCCTGTCCCATAATACTGAGACTATTTCGAAGAGTAGTTTGTACAAAAAGTTAAAGTTTTTCGTGCATTATAACAATTTTTTAAAGTTAAACAAAGAAATTGGCTGGAGCGGGGTTTGAACCTACGACCTCTTAATGTACATCTGGCGACCGGATGAAATCAAACATGTTTGCTTTATTCGCATCTGATTTCACCGGATCCAATGTCACTGGAAAGGTGTGCGGGCAGCACTCCGATTTCAACGGACGCGATATTTATGTTAACCAATCAGATTCATGAAGGAAGTCACATGATTTAAAATTGAGAGCTGCCATTTTGTTATCACGTGACTGGTCATCATGTGACTGGTCATCATGTGACTGGTCATCATGTGACTGATCCTCATGTGACTGATCATCATGTGACTGATCATCATGTGACTGATCATCATGTGACTGGTTATAGAACGGGTATGTGTGCGGGTTAACGTCGCGGTCTCCGCAACGGTGAAAAAAACAAGTTTTTGGTGATTTGGTAACTGGTTAAATCGGAAAGGCGTGCTGCGGGCTTAAGGATCTGTTGACTTTTTTGGGGGGGGGGGATTTTAGTTGGATGGTACTCCAAAATAATCATGACTCAATTTGTTCTCCTCTCTGTGTTCTGTTCTGGGTAGCCTCCCATCTAGAGAACCCTGACAGCGAGGTGGTGCTGTACATTATGCTGCGAGCGGCCGATCGGTTCTACAATCAATATAACCGCTTCCCTGGTTGCTATGACGACCAAGTAGAAGGGGACACCTTCAAACTCAAGGTAATATGATGACTCAGTAAACAAATGTTGTGAATTTAAACCATGGGATATGTATAGACATACAAGGTGTTCCCCTCAAAAAGGAACCCTCTTTTTCACAACTTTAAAAAGAAATACCTCGCAAATATTGATACATATGAAGAGTATAGTTCATTAGCTATTCAACAACGAACAAATCTTTTCAATCGGGTAATTATTTATTGAGCTATGGCCAATTTTAAAAAGGGCCGATTATTCATTTTGTCCACAGTTTTAATTGTCATTTAATAGGAATGTAATGGATTTGGGTTAAGGGTAGTTTTGCTTTCTTTAAATTTTTTAGTCTTTCTGTATTTTGTGTCTTTTATATTTTTCAGTGTTTGCAACAATGGTCATTTCTCCTTTTGGAAGAAAATATTGGTCCTGAAAAGGACTGTTTGGTTAACTTCTTAGATAACTTCTTTCAGCCCGTGTTCTTATTGTGGCAGTGAAATATCAGTTGCCGTGGACAAAATGAAAAAGCGGTACTTGTTTTCAATTGGCCATACCTCGATAAATATTTACCCGATTTGAGAGATTTTTTCGAGTTCAAAACCTATTGAAGTGTACCCTCTAAATATGTATCGATATTTGTGATGTATTTATTTTTTAAAAGCTGCAAAAAAGAGGGGGCTTCACCCTGTTTTAGCACGGATTTAGGGCCTTTTTCTTTTTTTCCAGATCTTCGGTCACAGAAAACTGGTCACTTGGCCTGATGAACTGGTATAATAACTATGAAGCACTGTGATATAATGGTGTAAATCGATTTATAAGCACCACTTTATTTGGACTGTTTCCTATTGCCTACGTTGAATTATAATCCCATATCATTGTTTGTTACTTGTCTTTCAGAGCTGTGTGCATAATATCTTGCATGAGTGGGGAGTCAACTTTACAATGAAAGACGACTACATCAATGAAATGTAAGCATTCTGATCAGTGGCGGATCTGGGGGGGGGGGGGGCGTGTTTATGGGTCTAACACCCCCCCCTCAACCACTTTCCCCCCCCCCCCCACTTTTGGTATACATTTCAAAAGGTTTTTTCTTCAATCAATCGACCAAAAAACACACTTCTGCTTGATCGATGGATTACATTTATATTTTTGGAAATTGTAAATTTATAGTTATTGATTTCAGAAAATCTCAAAGCCTCGAAATGGTCAGTTTCAGCCAAAAATGACTTCACATGCCCTTGGTGCAAAAACAGCATTAGCAACTTTGTCCAGGTTTCACGAGGAGCAGGTCTGAAGTAATACATCTTTGCTCGGAATATGTTCTGAAAAAAAGTCTGAGCCCAAAAAATATCTCGGCAAAGTTCCTGGCTAAAAAGTATGCATGCATGTTATTGTTCGCTCACTCACTGCCCTGCCACTCAGTGTGATATAACAATGAAACTAACAATTTTGACGTCATGAAAATCCTATTTCTTATTTCAGGTGTCGCTATGGAGCAGCAGAGCTACACTCAGTTGGCGCTTTCCTCGGCGGAGCGGCTGCCCAAGAAGTCATCAAAATCATCACTCATCAATTTGTCCCGTTCAACAACACATACATCTACAATGCTACCACCGCCACATCTGCCACGTTTCAGCTGTGAGGGGGATACCCCAACGTCCCATGCATGGAAAGGACACCCAGCTCCACTGTAGATCGGCGTGGACATCCAGAAAGTTGGGATATTTTCTTACCTCACTCCCGGACTTTCTGGACCCATTTTTCTTGAACCTCAACGGAACTCGAATCCGGAGTTCTGAATGGTATCTAAGAGCATCTGTTGAAATTTGTCATGCAAATGAATGGATGTTTTCATCAGCTGATGTAGCACGGCCCCAACTAATGTCCAATACGGCAGAGTCTCACAAAATCAATCATTTCATTAAGAGCAATTTCAGTTGTTTGCCTGAGATAGGTCACTTTTTAACACCACCATCAACTTCTTGAATACAATTTGTTGTCCTGCAGCAATAACTGTCCATCGATATCCCTCATTTACGCCATCAGCCTCGGTCCCATCTTCATAGTGATTTTTGGCAAGGTATAAACCTCCAGAGTTGGAAAATATGGGATATCATTGCAGCGGTGGCAGCTTTTTGGGTGTTATCACCTTTTTTTTTCAAAATATCCATCAAAATGCTTGTTACCACTCTAGGGGCGGTATACCTAGCGCATGTGCACTATAATCATTTATGCCCTGATTTGATACTGACCAAACCCCCAGGCTGATGGCCTAATTGTATACGCAAGACACCACACAAACACATACTCTCAGAAGCCTGGTAATACTCAATCCTGAAATTCCAACTTAAGTTGAGGCTAGGCGCCTCAAAAGGGGTTAAAAATGGCATATCCCACATCACAGCAGTTAACTATTTTGCTATATTTGTGCCAATAACTTACCAAAAAAATGGTTTTAAATTACTGTACGAAAGAAATTGAATCACTGCGATGTAACCTCTGTTAGCTGAAGGTTTTTATGTCCTGCTGGACTTTAGTTGAGCGTTTGACGTTGCAGTTCTCATTGCGCGAAGCAGGGCAGGGTCCACACGCGCGGGCAATGAATTCAGTACGATATCACCCCTGATACTTGGCCGTCCTAGACCAATGAAATGACAGTGTCCAAGCACACGATATAACAAACTCTTTTGGATTTACCCAAATTTACCTACTTCAAATGGCACCCCCTTGTGTCCTCAATACTTCAAAATATGCTAATGAATAAAGACATTGGCAGTTTTGGAGTCTGCCAACCGAGACAGTTTCCTGGAGGACAGAGTTCGTGTCACACTTCATTTAATTTCCTTGTTGAACCTTAAGAACAAAACAAAATATTATGTTTCTCTCATCTGTATTGAGACATCTCTTTTTGAGATCTCCTGTACCAATGTATGGATGATGACTAACCATTTTGCTTAAGTGCATGACATACATGTAAGCCCAAGTGATGCAGTTGAGTAGAGAAATGCTAAAGTAAAATTGTGTACATACATGTATTTATATTATCAGGAACCAAGTGATGACATTGCATCCTAATCAAGAGGATAAAATAATTAAAACAATTTCAATAAGAACCCTATTATTATATCTCTGTGTCAGTTATTTGTTTCTAGCACTTTATCACTGTTTTACTATAAAGCGCAAATGGTGGGTAAGCATTATATTCACTGTGTGGACTTCCCAACAAAAGAGGTCCACATAAACCAGGTAGCAGCGACGTTGTGTGGACGTGGGCAAGTCCACACAGTGTTTCCCCCTTTCTACTACAGGATTCCCAAGACATTAGTGCGAGCAGTCGCGCAGGCCGTATCATGCCGTTAGATAGCACACTACTGACATATGTAACGTGAAACATCATGCACGATCCACTAACGACCACTAGCGTCTTGGGCCGAGACTACTGAAGCAGGTGTTCTCCCACAAAGCAGGCGTACACCTGCAAAGCGGGGGACAGGCGGCAACACACCTCCATGCAAGCGGGCAAGAGGAGCCTTGTCATTATGTAAAAAAAAAAGCGGCTGCACTTGCAAAACTTGGACTTTCATGTCATTTCTATGTCCATGCAGGTTGCCCAGCTACTAAATAAGAACCCATTCATTCTGAAGAGCCAGGCATACTATACAAATATTGACTGCTTCGAGTGGTGTAGTAAAAACTAGCTTCCAGAAGTGATCCAAGAAGCATTCTATTTGTCCTGAGGCGAAGCCAAGGAAAAATAGAATGCTCCATGGATCACCGAGTGAGGCTAGTTTTACTACACGAGGTAAAGCAGTCAAAATTTGTTTTATAACACCTCCCATAGATTCTACTTGATTTTAAGCAATAACTGATTAATTTAGTCTGAATACAATTAAAATTTACTTCTATCTGAATATGAAATTCGTTGAAAATTAAATAGCACTTTTCCAAGCTACCCCTTCACGAAATGTTTGAACCCAGCTCTGTGGCGCTAGCGCTTGGGAGCAGTACGCACAATGCACAATGCACACCTGTATGTATTTGCATACGATGCGTATAGTACTTTGGTTGCCAAGGGTGTAGTACTTTTGGCTGTACACAGCAAGTTAGCAAAAATAGCGACTGCCATGTGACTCGCTCTCGGCCAATCAAGATACAGAATCTGTGGGTGAGGTGTTATAAATATAGTTATGTGAGGGTTTAAAAAAGTTAAAAACAGGCACTTTCCAACAATATATTTGTACAGTGTATTCAAGCCAGTTTAGTTTGGGCCTGATTGATAGTATTGTCAGTCTATGTTAGATCTCTGTTTTGATTTTTACGTGAAATACAAAGACAAACTGCAAAATGTGACAGGAACACACCATCATTTAAATTCAGAAAAGATTTATTGAAACTTCACTCGGATAAGTTGCAAACCTTGTACGTTGTTTCATAGTCATCAAACTTCTAATAGTGGATTTCTTTACAACAGTGAAACCAAACATTAATTAGTAAAAGTATGCATGTACAGACTTTGTATAAGGGTCAAGATCTTCTATTGCAGTATTAAAGTTCTGTACACTGGTCAACTGCAATCGGGAAAAAGTGTACAATACATGCTGCTGCAATGCATAACTAATTGAACTTACTTTTATGAGTAAATTTAAGAACTGGTGTCACAGAACTAACCAGCAAAATGGTTTCAGAAATTACATGAATATATGCTCTTTTGTTGTGACAGTGCGACAGAATTAAATGCAAAGCCACACAAACGTTTAGGAGTTTGAAGACCAAGACGACATCGGTGTCGATAGACTTGTTAAAATAAATACCTTGAAGTTGTAATGAAAACGAGGAAGCAATATGCAATGGAAAACAGGATTTGTTTTCAAATTTTCGTTTTAATTGATAAACTGGTTAAATTCTCCGTACATTCAGCTTCACATGTTTATGAGATTGAGCTATAACTACTTTCAGGAATTTATCGCAGTTAGTGTCATTTCTGTACACAAAGTTATTTTATTCTCTTTCTTTTCTGAGGACATACTTCAGAGCACAAAATCAGCAAAACGTCTTATATTAAAATTGCATGTGTACATGTACAATACTCGGGACTGTGTGTCACTGCCAATGACTGACTGGAAAAATCTTGTCAACTGTGAATGCACAAATTTGGAGTGTTAAAAAACTTAATGTTACATTGAAGTTATCGTGCTACGGCTAGCCCAATTGTAGTACCTGGGACATCCCGCGTTATGTCTTACACCTTTCGATCTTGCAGTGAGTATATCCCAGTCAAAGCCTATTCAAAGCAAGCTGGAACTAAAAATGAACTATGTAAGATGTTCATGGTACTTAAAGTGTTAACGACAGGTTTGAAAGTACATGTATTAAGCTGACAGTAAGTCAGTTAGGTATTTCAACTGCATATGTCCACATCAAGATTTGAAGATTTATACAAAATACAGCAGACAAATGCACACGAGTCTATGGGGCAATGGCAACCTAATCTGCAATGTGCAATGTTTTGTGCAAGCAAACACAATATGGAAATACATTTTGTTTTACATATAAGTTAAAAACATGAATACTGCCAAACACTGTGCAGTCCAATATTTGCAGAATTTGGAACTTCCCTAGGAGTCAGGTATTATTCTAAAGGTTGTTAATAACCCCATGATTCTGCAGGCAGAAGGCATATTGTCTATCCCAAAGAGAAACTCAAATCTAGAGGTGCACACACACAGTTAAAACACCAAACTGGATTACAGGTTGTTTGTGCTGACTGTTTACAAAATGTACAAGGCATGTCAGTGGCAGTTAACATCAGTCCAGACCTAGAATAAAGCCCATAGTTATCCAACTACAAGCTCATCACCGTTGAAGACGTACTCCGGGACCTCTAGGTTCTCGGGTGCGGGCCCCTTCCTGATTCTGCCTGAAGCGTCGTAATGGGAGCCGTGGCAGGGGCAGTAGTACCCACCGAAATCGCCAGCGTTGGCGATGGGCACGCACCCCAGGTGTGTGCAGACACCGATGAGGATGAGCCACTCGGGATCCTGGACGCGCTCGTTGTCGTGCTGAGGGTGGCGTAAAGAGGACAATTCGACGGATGTCACGTCGTCGATCTCAGCCTGGGTGCGATGCCGAACAAAGAGGGGTTTGCCGCGCCACTTGAAGGTCACATTCTTTCCCTGAGGATTAAGTGATGAGGAAGAATCAACAGATTTAACAAGTCCAGTTTACACTTAGTAACGTCTCAGAAGTCGGAACGCTTTGAACATTCCACAGGGAAACATCTCCTGTTCCAATTGGGAACATGGGTTGTTTCCACTGAGAACAGTCCGGGAACACCAGGTAATCCCGCATGGGAATGTTGGTCCATGTGCGTGCGTGCTTACCTGAAAACGGCCTTTTCCAGTTGGGCACCCATGGAAGCACACCGCGTTCCCAATGGGAACACACAGTGTTCCTAAAAGGAATGTTTTTACAGAATGGGAGTGTTCCGGCTTTTAAGATGCTCCCTTAATGCAAATGCGAATGCGAATGCCAAGAAATAGACCGAACCGCTTAGCCCCACCGTATGATGTTTTAACCAATCACAGCCACGATAATTATATGTCCGACATGCTTGAACAAAAGTATGTAATTGCCAACTGCAGCAGGATACCACAGTGGCTTTGTTCAAGCTATCGTAGTTTCAGATTGGCAGTTCATGTACAGGCGTTGATGGCCCAATGTAACAAGATCCCACAGACTCTTACACCTGATTCACTGTGTTGCATCCAGCATGGTGAGGGTTTTAACGTACATGAATTCTCTCTTAACATGCTTAAAAGATACTAACCTCTGGGATCTCAGCCAGTTTAATCTCAATCTTGGCCATGGCCAGAACATCGGCAGACGCACTCATGGTGCTGACGAAATCCGTCACCAGGGTTTTGGCTACGTAGGCCGTGGCAATGCTGCCAGCGCCGACCATCATGTAGGAGTAGGCCTTACGATCCACTGATTTCTGGCTGGCCGGTTTGTTGGGATCTTGTGTGTCTGAGTGGCGGTACTCTGAGAAGTCAGGAACTTGGATGTCTGTGTGGGCATATCTGACATAGCTGGGGCCTAGAGTAAGATAGAAAAAAAAAATGGTATTTTGGCATTGTTGACATTTTAACTTTCCCTGGTTAATTAAATAAAGGTACCGGTAAGTACAGTCGTTTTTCTAGTTCCGGATTTTTCCAAGTTCCAGATTGCTTCAAATAAAAACCTACCTTTTTTTTCTGATGAAGTGCAGTTTGAAAAGGAAAATGTAAGCTTCTTCATACACAGACATCTTTTGGGAAAAATCTTCAGAAAAGGAATTTTGGCGAGATTTCTGACTCGCACTTTGACATGTTTGGACCGTTTGTAGAAAATCACGGGAGCTGCGAATCGACAATAAATTTTCTTTTCCTTACATCACTCACACTGTGTGATTTCAAATATTTTGTTCATACACTACAGTCGTATAAACTCTTCCATCGAATGGTTGTTGAATCAAAATAAGTTGAGAGTCTCTTATATTATATTTGAAAATTTGTCAACGAATGACCATATATGTTTTTGCCTAGTTCCGGAACGCACGTGCACTTTCGTCCCAACTGCACGTCCGTTAATCGTTTTTGTGTGATTTTTGATGATTTTCAGCAAAACAAAAATTCTCGGAACTCTTTCCAGATATGTGACTTAACAAGGCTTCTTAGATTTTCGACAAAAATATATTATAAGATTTGTGCATTTAATTTATCTACCTCAAATTTTCAATCATTTATGATATGATTTTAAATATTTTGCATGCAGTTGTTTTTACCAAAATCGAAAGAAATTCATTTATTTCATATTTAAATTAAACAAACGTGTAATGTCGGATGGCAAACAAAAGTTAGTTTATTTTTTTAGTGACCAAAGTTGTGCCGTAAACTTGTCCTTTATTCAACAAACATCGATCCACATTGTTTTCAGAAGTAGGACACAATGGACATGATGGAGACTCCGTAGAATGACGTTTTCCGTTCGTGCGCGAATTATGGGCACGAAACTTTCGTCACTTCGTGGCAGCCAATTTGACTCATCTGCAGACGACGACGTTCTTGACGTTCGATAATGTTCAAATTATTTTGCAAGAAAAAATCGGTCAAAGTACTAAGTGCGCGAAACAGGTCTTACAAACGGGTCTTACAGTTACAAACTCACCCTGCACACCCGATGTAACTTTCAGACTGCTGCGTGGTCTGAGAGCGCTCATCGCTTCATTTGTGAGTTTCGCTGTGTCGGATGGAACCTTGAAAGTTGGGAGTAAATTGGGAGCGACAACCACGGCTGGCCTTAGTTGTGATGCTACGTTTTGAGAGGTAGCGCTTATAAAGGGAGCGAACGCCCCAATTTTGGTACCGACAGCCAACATTTTAGAAAATATTTATCAAAAATCCACAGTCTAAAAAAGCCGGTAGGACGGCGTTATGGCAGTTTCACTGAGTCAGGGTTATCGACGACGAATAACCGATATTGGGAGTACTGGAATGAGTCTCACGAAAGCACCCTTTCGCCTGTTGGTTTGAATGGAATTAAAATCGATACTAGTATTTCGATTTACTATTAACCGATTATTTTCACTACACTCGTACTACATAATCGTTCTTGAAGCAAAAACCTCCTAGGTGAGTGAAATATTACTACCCCTGTCATGGGCGGGTCTTAGATTTGGGAAAGAGGGCCTTACCACCAACACAAAGTCTGAAGTAAAACCAGGAAAATTCCCTATTTTTACTTGTATGCCTTTGATTTGGAGTGAATCTGCATGATGTTGTTACATTAGACGATCAGTACAATCAGCGATTTTATTTTCACAACAGTTTCCCTTTGAGCACATTTGAGCAATCAGCTGCATGCACTGCGCGCGTGAGACAAAATTTCAAGTCGCCTGACGGGTCCTCTTACAAAGAACTGTGGGTAATTACATGTGCGAAATCCATCATGGCGCCGATTTCGTGATGGATCCGCAAATTTTCCCTAACTTTTAGCACAACGATATGCGCTTTAATTCTTAATTTCTAGATTCTAATTGATACTTGACATGCTCGTGTAGAACTTAAGGTTCGTTTCAAATCAGTTTCATTTTAATTGTTTGGGCAGAATCACAGAATGCACACTCGCAATACTCGCACAGTTTGATCGTGCACTCATGATTGCACCGGTTCATAGGCATAACGTTACACTTACATGTACATGTACCATTGCCAACCATGTGTGCGCGCGTAGGATAACGTACACATGTACATTGCAAGGCCAATGCCTCTGGCCTCCCTCAGTGCAGTGGTGGTTCAGCTAGTGTTTGTTCATGCACGCGACCCACGCGCTACCTACTTCACATGACACAAATGATCCATGCCACGGTGGCAATCATAGACATGCACAACTTGTTATGTTACTTGTTAGACAGCCGACTGTTTTTGTTTTTGTGTGGAAAACCTCTTGAGAAAAGACTTGAGAAAATGTTTTCTTGCATGCCATGATGCTTGATAGGCATGATGAATTGATAGTCATATTATTATTAAAATTTGAATTTAACCACATTTACCTTGTCCTGGACATCCTGCTGAACATACATAAATAATTAAGAAGAACCCACGAGTACGAGGCTGTTTGGGTTGCGATCGAATGGATTTGTTTGAAAATAAAATATTTCAGAAAATCTTCTTTTTTTTACCATGAAAAACTAAAAGACGTTTAATTTATTGATTTTAATCTCACCTTGTCACTCAGTTGCAGTTATGGCGTACATTCAGTCGGTATTAAAGTTGACGTACATGACATAGTCGCTATCTGCTTGAAATTCCTACAGTACCCTCTTTGTGAAATTAAGAGAAGCTGGCAGTTCAGTTGCAACCATTTTATGTTAATTGCTTGTGCAATCTAATTGCTTTGCTTTCTTTATGATCAGATGTACTATTCATGCTATTTCAAACTTTTTATTCTTGAAGGTATCCAGAATCTGAGATTGGAGAAAAGGTCGTTCTTCAAGAGATGGAATCTGAAGAGGAGGAGCAGATTGCCTCACCTAACGAAGACTCTGATTCTAGGGAGGCAAGTCCTGCTGGGAGTTTCCATGAAGAAAGGTCTGGGGGAGACTTCATTCCGGACCTTGAAGGACTTCAGGACGATGACCAACTATTGGTTCTGACCGAGGACCCAGAAAGTCCCGCTTCTCCGGGTGCATGGAGTAATGGAGATGAACTTGAAGTTGTGCAGGACCCAGAAAGTCCTGCTTCTCTGAGTAACAGAGATGAACTTGAAGATGTGGAGGACCCAGAAAGTCCTGCTTCTCCGAGTAACAGAGATGAACTTGAAGATGTGGAGGAGGTAACATACCAGCGTGGACCACACACTCCTAGCGACAATGAAGGAGAGCTGATGACCCCTAAGAGTCCCAGTAATAACTCGGCAGGAAGCAGCAGCGAGGAAGAAAATGAGGGGTCAGAAGGGAACTCAGCCGATGAGAGAGAGGCCGATATCGAAAGTCCTGTGCAAAAAGGTGTTGGAGAAGCTATGTGCAGTCCCATGACAGTGAGTGACGAAGGGGAAAGTGATGGTGAAAATGAAGACACAGCAGGACAACCTGAAGAAACCATGGAAGGAATTACAGAAGGAGACGAATCAGGAAGACTTGAGAGAGGGGAGGCTGATGTTGAAGGAAGGGAAGAGAAGGAATCTCGTCAAGAGATGGATGATGATACCAGGGATGATGGAGATAACGGAGAGAGAGGAGAAGACAGTATTGAGAAAGAGGGAGTGACCCCATCTGAGGATGGGGATGTATCAAGTTTTCCGAGAACTAAGGCAAGCCCTGAAATTGACGACTCCCCAGAAGTTGCAAATGATGAGGATCAAGAGGTTGATAACTCAAGTAATGAGGAACATGAACAACCTGTCTACGGAGCAGTTGTGGATCGCGAAGAGGAAGCTGAACAGTCTGTGCAGGAAACAGATCAGCATCAACCGCCAAGTCCGGCCGAGATGCTGGGATCCGATCGTCAGTCACCCGTTGTGGAACTGGTCGAACAGACTCGGGCTGTTAGCTTAGATAGTGCAAGGGATCAGGAGACAGAACATGCGGAGAAGGCAGAGACCTTGCCGTCGATCAATCAAGACCTATCATCTGTGGATGAGGCACAGGGTAGATTAGACCAGAACGTAATAAAGGAGGCGAATGCAGGGGATAATGATGCGTGTAGCGACACGCCTCCGGACAATGTCTCAGAAACGTGTGCTGCTGACAAGCAGGACATCCCTGCAGCTAGCTCAGGAAGCAACAACATTAATGCTGCACAAGGGGATCTTGACGTGGAGGAAGGAAATGACCAGGACAGTTCTTCAAATCTCCACGTCACCTGCAGCAAAGCTGATAACAAAAGTGAACCCCCAGATAAAGAGGCTTGCCTGGAGAGAGAAACTGGCAGCACAAGTCCTGATCAGCTAATAGCCCATGCGGCTTCCGATTCCGTTGAAAATGTTATGCAAAAATCCCCCAGTATGCCTGACCAGTCAGTGCTGACTGACCAATCGGTGGAGGAAACTGGCCAAACACTAGCAGCTGCCCCCGTAAAGGACCAATCAGAAAAGGCTGCCACATCTGGACCCAGCCAATCAGAGATGCTGGATGTTCATCACATTGACGACCACGCAGATGAGCTGGACTATGAGGAGGATGTGGAGGACCATGAGAAGATTGGCAAAGATGGGAAGGAGGAGGGAGAAGATGGCATTGATGCAGAAGAAGGTGAAGAAGATGACGAAGGTGAACTGGAAGACGTAAGTCCCGCAGGATGTGCACACTTTTTCATCCATTGCAGAAATATGGTTGTGTACAATGTAAAAGGCAAGATGCATCTGAATTGATGCCTTTGAAATTAAAGTACAAAGACGGTGCCGTTTTTTTTCCAGGGAAAATACTGCCGGTATAGTGTACTTAACCAGTTGGCGCCGGAGGCCGTGTATACTTGCAAAAGTTTTGCGATATTTGGATGGAACGGATGACAGATAAACACGCAGGGAGCAAGGCCAAAAATATCTATCAGCGACCAGCTCACAGAGAGCGAGGCCAGAAATATGGGAAAGATTTCCATATACGAAGTTCACTCAACACCCTGTGTACAAACCCTATGAGATTGGACTGAAAAATTCTAAGTGTTTTCTAAGAAAATGCTTGTATTTTCTCACTGCTCAAATTGACTTTGATGACATGAAATTGCTATCTGGGGGCTTGTTAGTCAATACAGAGGAAAATTAGTGAACTTCTTATATGGAAATCTTTCCTAAGACTGGTGACGGATATTTGTTTCCCTTCATCTTGCCACTTATTTTTAATGCACAGGATGAGGACATGGAAGAAGGAGAAGTCAAGGAACCAGGCAGCAGGAGGCCATTTGTGAAGAAAGTCTGCCGCTTCTACAATGAGGGGAAGTGCACGTGGGGGTCCAACTGTCGATTTGTGCACCCCGGTGTGAACGATAAAGGTAACAAGAGCTAACTTCTTGCCAGTGTAGGATGCTTAAAATGTACTAGTTACCTCTGTCTCATCAGGCCTGTACCCAAGACATACGAGCTTAACCCTCCTACTCCTAGTCTTTAACCCTAACCCACCTCACTCCTCCAAAATCCTCCTGGCGGTTTTGGAGGATTCTAGAGGATTGAGGATGAATGGTGATTGAATCAAATGAGGATTCTGGAGGATTGAGGATGAATGGTGATTGAAGCACATGAGGATTTTGGAGGATTGAGGATGAATGGTGATTGAAGCACAAGAGGATTTTGGAGGATTGAGGATGAATGCATTTTGAGGCAGGACTGTCTGATGATTTTGAAGGATTTGGCGTTGGTTATCCTTCATTTAAACACGAGTGCAAAGTTTTGGGATGAGGAGGATTTTGGAGGATTGAGGATGAATGCATTTTGAGGCAGGACTGTCTGACAATTTTGAAAAATTTAGGCGGAGTTGCAAAAGTTTGGAAAATTTTGGAGGATTTTGGAGGATTGAGGATGGTTGTAAGCAACAAGGGCCTAGGGGGTTAGGGTTAACCCTCAAACAGTGTTCCTTTTTTGTTCACCTCACTTTTGCCTCACTTGCGGCACCCTTTGAAGTAATTGACCTATCGCTGTGTGCGAATTAGCCACGCCCCTTAGACAACCCTTTGGACTTTTTGTACGCTAAGTTTTGTTTGTCTCAGATTTGTCTCAGTTAAACTTATCTTCAATTTGCAGGGAATTATTCCATGATCGACCGACGGGAGCTTCATGAAGCCACAGCTAAACTGCTTGGTATCCCTCAAGCCCCTCCTGCAACAGCGGTAAGATGAAATGCAATGAAAAGGAACTCAAAGCTTATTTAATACTTACCACCCAGAATCTATGCAAATCAAACGCCTGGTTTTGCCATATTTTGATAGATTGATACCTGTCAAAACCATTCTCTTTATTGAATAGTTATTATAATATAGAATTATAAATCACACTTATCCATCAAATAGATGCTCACTGCAAGGTACATGTATATCATTAACCCTAACTCCCTAGGCCTTATTCATGTTATTGCTAGGATGTAGCCTCAATCCTGCAAAATCCTCCAGCAATCACTTCAATATGTTGAGGCAGAGGCAGTGACATCCTGGAGCAGTGCGGAGGATGTCAAGTATAATCAAGGACTAAATTTATGCAGGGCTGAGCATAAACAACACAAGGTCCAGCCCAAGACCTTGACACAGTGCGTCCTCCGATATCAGCAACGCACTTTTGCCATGTTACCTCAATCCTGCAAATTCCTCCAATTTGCAAAAAGGATTTTGGAGGATTTGGGATGGTTAGGGTTAACCAATAACCCCTGCTCATCGGAATTATGAAAACATGCAAATGACATCTCGGCTCTATAGGTGTGCCCGCAGCCACAGTGTTTTAAAACCACCTGTTTTTGTTTTCTTTTAAACGATCATTTTGGAAGGAATAATTTCACAGGGTATTTGTTGTTACCAGCCCTATCTTCACTTAGTGCAAGGCTTTCCCAAAAGGCGCGTTTTTGGGTAATTAAAAAATGCACACATTTGCCTAGTTATTTGAAAACATTGTTTATTGTTATTATTATGTTTTTGTTCTCTGTCAGCCGCCACGGGCCTTCTCACCTCCCCCTCCACCCCCAAGCGAGCCGGTGGCAGAGTCCGCATGGGAACGAGGCCTACGACACGCCAAGGAAGTACGTATACTACTCTGCTCATGAGGGCCTTTGTTTTGTGATATCAAACATAGTTAAATCAGCAGTTAACGCGCGACTTTTTATCACAAATATTTGTTCACAAACTTTTTTTACAATTTGCATGGGGACACTCAGTGGGGGTAATGACAAGTTGAATGGAGTGTCTGTGGGGAAAAAAACCTGCAAACAAGACTTGCTTGCAGATTGAAAAGTGTATTTAGTCACTGATCTCGGGTTTTTTCTGGGTTTTGGGAAGCACGAGGTTGACCCCAAATCAATGGTGGACTTGAAATTGCTCAGGCATGAATCAATATAAAACAATTGAATGCTCAAGCAGTTATGGGTGCTACAGTGATGTTTAGTTAACTTGACTTCTTACTGACAATCGTGTCATTATCTTTCTTAGTTTATACATATTCTTTGCAAATAAAATAGCTCACTTTGTGATATTTAATATGCTGTGAAAGGTTTTTGTTAGAGGACGGCTTCATCAGAGAGTTGTGCTATTAGTAAATCTTTTGACGCACAGCATACTTTTAAAAACTGTAAAGGGTCGTACTTTGAAGGCGTGTTGGAGTTGGCTGGTTTTCAAAATCATCATGCGAAGACTGAAATTGAAGCTCGGAGAATTGCAATCGGCTACATCAGAGAATCGATTCCCCCAAAAAAGTGGAATCGCAATTCGGATTCCGAATTTTTGAATCGATTTGATTCGATTCCGGCATGGATTTGCCCAAGCCTACTACATTATTTATTATTCTATTTATTGGCGATGCTTTTCTTCAATTTTTTTTTTCAGTTACGACTTAGTTATTTAACTGACTGATTTATCACTAGTTAGGAATTTTCGGCACGCTCTTTTACCTTCTGCAAAGAAGCCTTCATTTCTCAACATTTGGTGTTCAATTAATTGAACTGAAAAATATTAGACTGAATAAACCAACACATCTTTTGTTGCAGGCCTATTCTCCATCATGAAACTTGTCTTTAACAAATCGTTTGTCAATATCAGATGTTAAAAGTATGCAAATTAAGGTCTTGTTGAATTTAATTGAATTGTATCTGTTAATAGAAACAGCCATTATGTAAGAGTGCGCATTTATCAGCACACATTTGCTAAATTATGACACTGTTTGAAATTTGCAGATTCGTAAGAAAGCTATGATGCGCAAAGAACAGGATCACAACTTTGAGGAGAAGAGAATGCTGGGCGGCATTCCTTATGAAGAAGAGAGAGACTATGATAAGGAGAATGACTTCACGCTGCCTCAGGGCAATGCAAACTATGAGGAGTTTTATGGGTGAGTACAACATAAACCTAACGATCCCCGTCGAGTCAAACTCTAACACCAGGGTTTTGTTGGAATCTGTTGGGATGAGTACTGCACTAGTAAACTGACTGTGCTTTACGTGGGTGGGGTTAGGCATACCACAATAAACAGAGTCCAACTCTTTATGTGCACAGTGTACCATATGGTAATTTGTGCATTTTGTTCGTTTGAAGCAACAAAAAGAAGGGTACTGAACAACTAACCTGATGAAGTTTCAGCTCAGCTTCAGCTGTACATTTTGAGATAAACAACATTCTACGATCTCAATTTCAAATCAAAAGTTGCCGAATCATGTTTTGAATTGGGTCTGAATTCAGCGTCCGAGACACGTTCTCACTGAGCCGATTGCAGCTACGCATTGTCACACGTTGTCAGGAAATCGTAGAGAATTGTGAATCCTGGTTGAAAATCGTAATCTTTTCCAAATATTTCTAAGTCACCAGAACCTAAAACTCATCCCACGAGACACAACATGTCATGCTCAGCTTTTTGGTAACATTTTAGTGTACACGTTTTTCCGCGGCAGTTTCAGCATAGTTGATGATGAAGCGCCCCCTAACGACAACAGAGACAGTTTCTTCCAGCAGCAGTTCGAGGTGTATAATGCCCAGTATCAACGGCGAGAGCCCCCTCAGCAGTATGACTACCGCAGGGTGAGCTTGACCTAATCTTCATACTGCTTGTTGAGAAATTTGGCCGTTGTTCAGTTAAAAGCCAGAGCATTTTCTTAAGGGATCGTCTTTTCTGCCCTGATTTCGATCCATGGTTATTTGGCTTATTTACTTACTCTTTGACTAAGATTTTTTTTTACTGAGGTGAATAAATCAACTTGTCCCTTGTTGACTTCATTTTGAAGTGATACGTCTCCTCACCTGACACAGATAAAGGGTTAACCTTAACTACTGACTATAGCCTCTGTGTGCAAACAAGAGAGGGCGCTTTTTGACCGCTTTTGACAGCTCCAGTGGGGGGACAGGTGCGTGTACTGGTTCGCAGCATATGGCGCGAAATACGCACCGCCAATTCTATTCTGAATGTCCACGAAGCCATCGTGTCTTTGCGTGAGCATTAGTTGTCGGCATTGCGTTCGAATGTGTCTCCATTGCGTGGTTTAACCCTAACTCCCTAGGCATTTTTGCTAGGATGTAGCCTCAATCCTGCAAAGTCCTCTATTTGGCCTCATGGAAAAATAGCACATAGCCTCAATCCTGCAAATTCCTCCATTATTTCTTGAATGTGGTCCTTGGAGGGGTGACCACTGCCTCAATCCTGCAAAATCCTCCGGCTATGAATGTCTATATGTCGAGGCAGAGGCAGTGACATCTTGGAGCAGTTCGGAGGATTTCAAGTATAATCAAGCGTAAACAACACAAGGTCCGGCCCAAGACCTTGACACAGTGCGTCCTCCGAAATCAGTAGCGCACTTTGCCATGTAACCTCAATCCTGCAAATTCCTCCAATTTGCAAAAAGGCTTTTGGAGGATTTGGGATGGTTAAGGTTATTTATCCACAACCTTCTTTGCAGATTCCATTAGGATCTAAGGGTTGCAGAATGAATCACTTGCAATGCACCAGTGTTCATTATCTGATGTGCACTGTGCCAGATTTTCTAGTGGAAATTGCCGTACTTTGGAATTGAAAACTTTGCTTTATATTTTCAGCCTGGGAAAGACAGGCAGTGGCAAGAGGAACGTGAGGAAATGGAACGCAGGGACATGGCCCGGCAGCGCCAACGGGAGATCAACCGTATGCGGGAGCGTCCGCGGGACATCATGCGGGACAGGCGCTCCCCGCCCCGCCCGCTATCCAGGGAAAGGCCCCCACCAGGCAACAGTCGAACAATCAGGGAGGACTTTGACCGGCCGCTGCGAGAAGAGCGTAGACGGAAGGAGATAGGACCGGCTCCGGGGCACGGCGGCCGGCCCGCTGATGCCTGGCAGGACCCCTGGGCGCGGTCCCGTTCACCGAAAGCCAATGCAAGGGCGGCTGGACGGAGGCGACGGTCGTACTCCTATTCCTCAGACTCTTTCAGTGATTCCTCATTGTAAGATTTATTTGTTCTATTCGTAGTGAGATAACTCCAAAAGTATTCCAGAATACATTTGTTTAAGTAATTAGAGACCAGTTGGTCATTAACTAATTTTTTTGGCACATTTAGTCTATACTTAAAAGCCTTCGTACTCAGACCACAATGTCTTGTTTCTCAGACATAATTCCTTCTGTACCAGGTAGTTCTTCTTTACCATTTTGAATTTGGGGGGGGGAAAAAGGTCTCATTATAACACTGATCAACAGCTCATACATCACAAACTGCTTGCTCAGACGTAAGTAACAAGTAAAAATCCCATTTCAGCTCTCATGTGAATTGTATGAATTGCTTTACTAAGCTTGGAATGCAGACACGGTCTGCATTTCCAAGCTCAGACAGAGCACATCCAAGCATTGACAGAGCACATGTATTGATTTACATCCATTCTCGTTTGGATAAATATGGTAAATGGCTGGATGTCAGTTGTCTGACTTCACTTACACTCTGTGATGTTGTTTTTTTGTTCCCTTGTAGTTCTTCAAGATCTCGATCCCGTTCCCACTCATCTTACTCCTCGAGCAGCCGATCCTCCTCAGGCAGCTCCTTCAGTCGCTCCTCCTTCTCCCGCTCTCGCTCTCGGTCCTACTCCAGAAGCCGGAGCCGCTCACCCAGGCCTGGCCGTGGGGAGTTAACAGGCCGGGCCCGGCCTGGAATCGGGCGAGGAAGACCCTCTGCCCCTGTGGGTCGGTCTGGCCAGACGCAAGGGCCAGCCCAGCCGGGCAAGGCTGGGCCAGTCAGCGGACCAGGCAGAGGGGCTGCGTCGGGTCTCGGGAGAGGGACCACCGTGACTACAGGAAGTAGAGGGACTGCCAGTAACAAGCCAGCGTCAGCCAAAGGGCCTACCAGGTAAAACTCAATTTGTCAACTTGTGCAGCTGCTCGTTAATCAATCTGTTACATCTTAGTTTCTGTTTACAGAGAATATCTAACAAACATATTTTTGCTCAAAATATCATAAATGTTGCTTTTTTTTGGCAGCTTGTCTTTCCCTTTTTACTTGCGTTCCAGAAAATAACGAAATGAATCAAGTACCACAACTTCAGATTTGACTACAAAAACTGAAATTACTGCGCACAATTGTCCGTTTCCTTATTGAAAATAAGAATTCCAGGCTGTTGGAGAATATTGATCTAAACATGTCAGACAGTGCATCAGTGCCAATAAAGTGACAATGTCCATGTGACAGTGTATGTGTTATCATGCAAATAATGGTTTGACATAAATACAATAATGACATACACAGCGACTACCAATGAGGTTTTATTTGAAGACCAAGATATTTTTTTCTTAAACCTCATCTTCATCTCCACTAGCCTCAGGTTTGGACATCATCTTCATGATTTTCCTACCATTGTTGTTCCATTTTCTTTAAAACAGAAACATCAAGTCTTATGTGAGACCAATTTTTTGCAGTAATTTCTTTCCGTTCCTCCATTCTAAACATCTAAAAAAGTGATTTTTGAACCGGAAATCAAGTCAAAACCAGAGACAAAAGGTGAAGCGAAGAATCTGTGTACAGTGACCACTCATTTGGCCGGTGCCCTGCAGTCTTCTCATAACCCGTGGCTCTAAACCCACTAACCCCTTTGTTCCCTGCAGTGACACCAGTCTGCCCATTAAGAGACCCGCCCTGGCCACGCCTCCCCTGGCCAAACCCTCCCTGGCGGCCAAGGCCACGCCTTCCAGGGCCCCGCCTACCAAGGCTGTGCCCCAGCCCAAGGGGGTTGGCGAGCTCGCTAGGCGGGTGCAACCAGAACTCAGTAGACCGCACACTGCGTGAGTTGAATGGGACAAAATGTGCATGGATTGTGTGCATGCTTATGGTCTTGTGCTGACAATATTATGTGCCACTGCATCCCATAGGATTATCTGCTTGCGTGCCTTGACAGAATATTTTTTTCAGGATTTCAAACTTTTTTTTATGTTAACTTCTTGGTACATCTTGAAATGCCCGTAACCCATCGAAAAGTGTGTTCCAAGTGAATTCCCTCCCTTTTTGCCTGCATTCTTGCACCTCTTTTTTATGTTTTATGAATTCCTTTTCACCCAATAAGCATTTCTTTATTGGTAATTTGCGAATTTCTCTAAAACAACATATTTTTAAATTTTGACTGAGTGAAGCTGGTTTACACATTTATTTGCTGCTCCGTGTTCGTGAAATGATTGCTTGCTTTGCTTGAAATTGTTTGGTGGTGTAAATGTACTTCAGTCTGTGCGTGTTTTGCTGCAAGGAATTGCATCTTTTTACTAGCTGATGCTGGTGTGGTTTTAGTGTGGATAATGCACTGTTGTCTGCATGCATTCTCTCCTGAAATTCTTAACCCTTTGACGCCGGGTGACGGCTATAGACGCAGCTCGATGAAAGCTGATAAGCCGGGAGACCACTATAACCGCATACCTGCTGCATACCTAGTTGCATTCATTCATAGTCACCGGCCAAATGTGAGCCATGAGCATCTTGCTTGGCGGATACTGGCGTCTTATAAATGTACATTATCATTTTTATTATGAATTCTTGCACATACACATTCCATGCAAAGTTTAGCTGTCTGTAGCTGACCAATACCGGCGTTAAGGGGTTAAAATAATTCATTCCTCAGCGGGCGTTATGCACAAGCACACTTTTCTTCATGCTCATATGCCACAGAATGCTGCATTCTTTTATATTAACCCTCCTATGCGTACATACATTCTGTGCCAAGTTGTCCTTTACGTCAAAATCAATCAAGTGACTGTTTTCAACAGTTAAGAGCTCCCAGCCTACATAAAGCAGGACTGACTGGCTGTGACCGTTTATGTAACTTGATACAGCTATGCTTTGACTGTGGGTGATTGATAAGACAGCTGTGCTTAACAGTTGCCTGCTTTTGTCTGTTGACTGAACTTGTTTAGTCAAAGTGTTTGGCAGGAGAAGTGGATGGCGCCTTTGAGGAATCCTTGGTTTCATTACCAGAAATCATTAACCCTTTTATGCAAACATACACTCTCTGTCAAGTTGTCCTTTTGGTAAAATTAATCAAGTGACTGTTTTCAAGAGTTAAGAGCTCCCAGCCTACATAAAGCAGGACTGACTGGCTGTGACCGTTTATGTGACTTGATACAGCTATGCTTTGACTGTGGGTGATTGATAAGACAGCTGTGCTTGCCAGTTTCCTGCTTTTGTGTGTTGACTGAAATTGACTAGTCAGAGTGTTTGCTGAAAATATGGTCTGACTGTTCGTGATGCGCCTGTGTTAAAGACACGGCAGGGGAAATTGATGGAGTTTTTGACTGTCTGTGACTGTCAACACAGTAGGAGAATTAACGAACCTTGCTTTTGAACTAGCTGTCATATGTGCGTGTTAGAACGCTGGTTGTATACATGCAGCTATGACCTTTGCTGTTTCTGCAGACTAAAGCGCACACTGTGCAATGCACAGTTTCAGTGCCTGTTCCGTTGGTCATGGAATTGCTCCTCACTTAACATTCCCCATGTTCAAACTGTCAACAGAGTTTCCAGTGTCATGGAAAAAAATCCCGGAAAATCCCGGAATTTTAAGTAGAGCTATCATGGAAAGTCGTGGAATTTTGTTATTTTGCAAGGTGGCACGGAAAGTTGATCCATGAAGGAAAAGTCATCGATTGTCATTTTTAAGATTTCTGTTCAAACCCTTTATCAAGTCAGGTTTGTTTTTTTGCTTCCCCCTCCCCTCCCCCTCCCCTCCCCCTACCCAAAGGTTGCTGTAATGAAAAACTGTGACTATTACTTCTTTGAGCTAATTCATGGCTGGCTCTTTGACCCCTTCCACTGTTTTGGGTCTGTTTTTGGGTCTAAAAGAAGAGTTTGGGTTATTCTTTTCTCAGACCGCCAACACAACAGAAGAAACCAGGCAGTGTTGGTCCGTCAGATAAGAGAGCCATAGGTAGCAGGAAATCACCAGACGTTAGGAAAATGGTAAGAGAAATTAGCTTTTTTTCAGCTTTTTCCCTGACTTGCTGTGTACAAAGGTGTCGGAGATTTCCAAAGTTCAGCTTTTTTACACCTTTTTCAGCTGTTTTCAGCCATTTTTATCAGTGGTCACTCATACCCCTGTATTTACCGTTTAGTTTATTTTTATTTCTCGTATTTTCCACTTACTTAATTTTTTTATTACAAAAATAAAATTATTCTTTTTTTGCCTCCAGCCCCCTGGCAGGCAGATTCGCCCTCGGACCCGCAGCAGCAGCAGCAACAGCAGTTTCAGCAGTCGCAGCAGCCATTCCAGCTACAGTAGCCTGAGTCGCTCGCGCTCGCGCTCGGGCAGTCGCTCGCTCAGCTCCGTCTCTTCTTACTCCAGCATCTCCTCCAGCGAGAGTGACCTGTCGCTGCGACGACCGTCCACCATGAAGGGAATCGACGGGAAACGTCTGCCGCCAAACACCAAAATCCCCAAAGGTGAGGACGACATGAGACTGGGTCCTGTGACATGAGTCTTATTAAACACATTTTTAGAGCAGGGTTGAACACTGATGTAAAATATTCACGCCCATATGTGAAGACATAGACGGTGTCCTTCCATCTGATTTTTTGTTTATTCTTGAGGCAATCAAACTTACTGATAAAAACAAAATGTATATCATTAAGAACCATGTGTAATTGACAGTGAAGAACCAACTTAACTTCTTCTTTTTTAGGTATGCCTGGCGAAAAGGAGAAACCAAGGTCTTGCATGAATCTGAAATATGTATGCTTGAGATACATGTGCAGAATTATCACACGTTTCTCCTACTAATTGTCGGGAGGTCTTTTGTGCTCATCTTCGGCCTGCCTCCTGATGTATTCCTTAAATCTAAATTGTAAAGTTTGCTTGGGATGTATTGTTTATCCCTACAGTCGGCATTCCTGCACTTCAACCTCGGCTCAGCAAAGCACCCCCAGTGCCATCCAACAGGAGCTCCAAAACCCCAGCAGTGACCCAGGCAAAGTCATCCAAGCCCCCACCCAGCAGCAAGCCTCCACCCAGCAACAAGGCGCCACCCAGCAGCAAGGCTCCACCCAGCAGCAAGGCTCCACCCAGCAGCAAGGCTCCACCCAGCAGCAAGGCTCCACCCAGCAGCAAGGCGCCACCCAGCAGCAAGGCGCCACCCAGCACCAAGGCTCCACCCAGCAGCAAGGCTCCACCCAGCAGCAGGGCGCCGCCCAGCAGCAGGGCTCCACCCAGCAACAAGGCTCCATCCAGCAGCAAGGCACCACCCACGGTCAAGCCACCATCCAACAAACCGGCGCCTGTCAAAACAGCATCAACCAAGCCCCCTGCAAGCAGCAGCAGTAGTAAGCCCTCTAGCAAGCCTGCCTCTGCGCCTACCAAACCTCCAACCAGCAACAGCAGGCAGTCTCCCAGCAGAAGCAGCAAAGCAGTGCCCAGTAGCAAGACTGCGCAAGCACCGGCCAAAACGGCCCCGGCGCCGGCAAAGCAGAAGAGTGCTCCAAAACCAGCCGCCACCTCCAGAGACAAGGATAAAGAGAAGTCCAGATCGACGTCGGGGACTACGCCTAGTGCACCGTCAGGATCGTCCAGTGTGGCATCGGCAACACAGAGGTCAGAAATATTCACAGCTTGAAAGGGTTTTAAATTTGATGATGAGGTTTGTCAAGGGCAAACTGAACATTGAAAATGATGGAAATTTATTACCGATTCTGATGCAGGACTTGCCAGCTTCGGTTGGTTATGCGTTATATTCTCATTGCCAGTGGTCATGATGATAAGCTAGGTGTCAGCTTGGAAATAACCCCTTTTAGCTCATATGTATTTCATAAAACAAAGGCAACGTTTTACATACGTAAAAGGATAAACAACATTGGGTGTTTTTTTTTCATCAAGAAGTTTGAGTATGGGAATTTATGTTACTTTCACATGCACACAGACAACATAGCACCTCCGTGCCAGTTGCAGCAGCCCCACGGTCAAACACACTGAAAGTGACAGCCCACAAAGACATCAAGCTGACGCTGCTGAACAAGGTAAGAGGGTGCACCTTTATTGTTTCCTGGACATGCTCAGTAGGGAAAGAGCACTGGCCAAAATCTCATCCACAGTATATATGTGTCTTGGGGTCCATTGTTTGTGTGGCTTTTTGAAGATGAATTTACTCCAAAGTTTAATGCTGAAGGCGTGCAACCCTTCCTGAACTTGATGTGTACAGAATAAACCCTCCAGAAGAAAGCACATATGAAACAAAGCGTGGTGTCATTACATCTCTCTGGTTCATTGACTTGACTGTTTTGTCCTATCGCAACAGCCTGCAGCCGACCCCAAGAAGCGTTCCACTGATTCTCAGTCCAACCAGGCAAGCAAGAAGACGTCAGCTACTCCTGCACAGTCCAAGACCTCCACAGACAAGGGTAAGATCCAGGGTGGCATTCGCTGCCCAGTTTCATACTGGTATTCAAGAGTCACGCCGAACCAAATTATTCCCAAATTGTTTCCAAGTACATGAATGTTTGACAGTTGAATCAGTTAGGAGTGACTACGTCTAAAAGTCAATTGTTGGGGCCATTTGGAACAACTCCAGAGTCTAGTCAATGGAAATTAATACATACAGTTTACCTGTCTGAAACCAAAATCTATTTGTTGCCACTTGATTCAGTCCTGCTATGATTTGGTGTCGGCATGACTCAAGAACACCAACAGGAAACCAGTGTCACGTGACTTAAGAGAGGACTTGTGATGTGACATGTGATTGGCATGTGATGTGACATGTGATTGGCATGTGATTCACTTTGTGATGACTGTTCTTGAATTCAAGTTATATGAGGCGCTGTGCTCCAACGGTCACAGTGTTTGACTCGTGAGCTGTGGTACGTGGGTTTGAACCTTGATGGGGAACGTGGTGCTTGTGTTCTTTGGCAAGTCACTTGACTACAATTGCCTCTCTTCAGCCAGTAGTATAATGGGTACCTGTGAAGGTAGAGACCAAATTGCGCTGATCTTGAGCTGCTGCAGAAAAAAAGGTCTCATTCCTGATGAACAGGGATAATAATTGTGAAGTGCTTTGAAACCTTAGGTATAAAGCGCAATATGAGCACTACATTATTTTTATGTTATTATTAATTCATGTTTGTATAGGCATTCATATTTTGCATGATCAGGGTTGCTAATGCATGCCACTGTTTTTCATCTTTGACCATTAGATCGTAAGTCCACCAGACCTCCTGTCGCCAGCCCAACCACTGCCAAGAAGCCCACGACGTCTGGAGATGCTAACCGCAAGACCGGCGCGCCGGGCTACACCAGCAAGACCGCCCCCAAGCCGTCCACTGGTGACCGCAAGCGTCCATCCTCCCCAACCGCCCTGAAGGGACAGCCGCCCGCCAAAGTGCCTGCCCGGACCGCCCCTGCAACAGGAGCTGGCGCAAAGCCTACCACAGTGGCCGCGGCCGCGGCAGCCAACAAGCCTGCAGGTACTGCTAAGCCAGCGGGAAGCGCAGCACCCAAGAAGAGCACCACCGTGTCTCGTCGGGAAGAACTCTTGAAACAGTTGCGGGCTGTGGAGGACGCCATCGCTCGAAAGAAGGCCAAACTCAAGTAGAGCCTTGAATGGAATCACATTTTATATTTTTTTTGTCTTTTATTATAGCATTCAGCCTGTCATCTCACAGGGGCACAGTTTGCAAAATTACTCATTGAATTGATGATCAAGCTGTGACATTGTATCCCCACTAAGAAACAAATTGAGGTGGTCACAGACAAGTACTCTAATCTGGGAGTTGTTTCAGCCTCTGTAATTCATATGTATGATGTAATATCCCCAATGGCAGATGGCCCATTCGCACTGAACCACCAGCTCGTATTAAGGGCATCTTAGTTGCTGCTGTGTGATCTTGTCACACTGCCAGTGACCCCACTTTCATGTGTACTGTGATGGCAAAAGAACATGCCATAGCACAACATTTTAACAGAATCCCATCAGGTACCTTCGGGGTTTTAATTCTTGCAGTAGACTTGATACTGCCTTGCCTAAAGATGGCCCTGAAGATCAAATATATCACATCCAACACATGGTCATCACCAATGTTTCACTACTTTCCGACAAAATCTTGTTGCGTATTTCAAGAGGACGACAAGCATTTAACAAGCGTTTAACAGGAACTCATTTCTGTTCCTGAAAAATCAAAGATGCATTGGAAGCATTGTAGATACTTCTGCTTCTGCTGGGTACTACAACAATCTCAGCTACGGGATATGTAAGTTGCAGGTGCGTGGTGGCTAGCGGATGCTAGCCACTGCTTGACATATATGTCCAGTGGGCAACACTTATTGGGCCCTGTGCGCCAATGAAAGGGGGCGCCCTTTTACCTAGCAACGATGTCCCATGGGCGGGACATTTAGCTGATTGACGCGCACCGTTCCTCCTGTGTGCCGCACGCACACCAGGGGATTTGTACTATGTACACGCAGTGGTACGGCCGCGCGTCGCAGCAAAATTGCAGTCAGGCAAGATGGCGTCGATCGGTCACCCCCAACTGTACTTTCTTTGCCGGTGAGGGGGTACTTGTGAACAGAGCGGATAATGCTCATTTTCAGTTTGTTTCTTTTCCCGTATTCCAACCGCTACTCAGTAAAACAAATAATGTACAGTTTTGGTATTGATCAGGATTTAATATCAGAAATTAAGTGCGTTGTGTTTCCAACTGTTGTAGCAAACCCAACAAAAAAAAGGCAATTGTCTTATTCCCTTGTTTATTTGTCGTTCTTGTTTGGGACCTGCAATAAATAAGTAGCCGCAGTTGATGATTGCACATTTAGGCGGTGAACATTTCTCCCCAGTCAGAGCATCATATCCATTCTTTTATCCGTTTAATTGTGCAAGTGTTTTGTCAGTGTTGTAACCAAGTCATGTTTCACAAGTCAAGTCGAGTTGCAAGTCAATTTTTCCAGAGTCAAGTCAAGTCGCAAGCCAATATTTTCAAGTCCTTCTGAACTTGTTACGTCATAATACGCATGACACATGTACCGTATATTTAGTCAACAGTAGAAACGGAGCCAGTCTACATGTATGTGTTCGCGATGGTGTTTATTGAGGGAGCATCATGTAAGGAGAATTTCAAAACAAAATTTACAATTTGTCAATGTTTTTGTTCTCTGAAACACCTTATTTTCATTTAAAATAGTCTGAAAATGAATTTTGATTACAAATCTACAAACTTAAGGCCAACAAAAATAAGTCTCCGGTTTCTGGTATGCGCGCGTGTTGCCACAGCCATGCGCGTCGGCAAAATGAAAAAGTTTTTTTTCAATGAAAGATGATGTCTCAAAACCACCAAACTCACTGGTTTGACTGGAATCCTGCTGCTGCACAATTTTAACGTGTTTTTAGATTGGGTTATGATCGAGAATAAGCTTTATGTGGCCTCTCTGGACTCCCATATATTTGCACTAAGTTTAGTCGGGCACCATTTTGCAGTCATCCGCCGACTTTTGAAGCAAAAAAAAACAGGTAAAAAAAAAAAAAAAAGCTACGTCGCCGCACCACTTTTTGGGCAAGCTCCATACCAGAAACCCGAGACTTTTTTTTTGTGGCCTAATTCAATCATGTTGAATTTTTGCCATCAGACATTCACTTGACAAGCGTTTTTGTTGAATAGGAAGAATTCTTGCTACGCTTCAAATCCGTATCACGGAATGACGATAGTAGTAATTTTCCAGTCATTTAAGATGTCGCTTTCTCCATGCTTCTATACACTGATCAGTAGTGTGCAGTAAGGCAATGTGGTTCCTTGTTACACAACTGTAACCAATGGCACTGATCTCCATGGCATAAACCAGCATGCACCACAAATACCACCTTGATGATACCAGCACTTGCTGGACACCTACATGTAGCTCGCTTCAAGTACATCAGGTCCTTGCCGTTCTGTTAAAAATGATTTTTGCCTACGCCTGAAAGTTTGTGTTAATGTCAGCAAGTCAAATTTAGTCAAGTCAAGTCACAAACCATTTTCTTTCGAGTCAAAGTAAGTCACTTTTTTTTTTCAAGTTTATAAGTCAAGTCTCAAGTCAAAAACATAGCGACTCGAGTCGGACTCAAGTCCGAGTCAGCGACTCGAGTCAACAACTCTGTGTTTTGTTGTACAATTCCGATATTTTCCTGCTTTCTAATGTTGAACGTCAGCGACATTTTAACTACGTTATTGTGTCATTTTCTATTTAAATCCTTTTAAGGTTTGTGAGTTTGCAATGTGAACATTAATGATACAAAGTAACATATTTTCATCATGAGAGGTTTTTTGGCCTCTCTGCCGTACATGTAAGCCGTAGATAATTAAAAATATTAAAACAAGAATGGCCCAGCTCTACCAATTCTATTACTTTATGTTTCAATATCAATTTTAATGTAAATACATGTAGTTTCTTGTTGGGGCAATGAATGCACACACTTTTGTATGCAAATCTTGTGAGGTAATTTTTTAGTGTTGAATATGATAAACTAGTTTCTTTTAATAATAATTAGCATTGCTTTTGCCTTTACGGTCAGATTTTTCTTTCCATGGAGTCGGAATTCAGTTTGAAAAAAAAAAAACCTGCATATGTGCACAATACATTTCAATATTGGTGTATTAATTAATGTTGTTAAGCGTTATTAATATAGCCGTAATTTTGTACTAGACAATTTTTCTCTGTCATCCCATTGTCAGCTTGTCAAGATGATCAGTCCTTTTTTATATGTGCATCGTATTTAAATACATTAAATGCCTGGGCTGTTTTTCGGAACTGACAGTCATTAATTTTTAATTGATTTCTGTCTAGTTTGAATGTAGATTAGTAGTCGTTGATGACATCTGTACAGGGGGACATGGTTTGCTTGATTGCTTTGTACAGTGGGTTTGATAATTGTGCAGAATGGGAAACAAGTGCAGATTGGATGTTCAACATTATCCATTTTTGACGGGCAAATTGTCACAGAGTCAGAATATCTGTGCCACTACGATCTTGCATTTTTTCTTCTTCAAGAACTGTGTTAAATAATAAAAGACTCCTGCATTCGGGGAGCCTGTCATTGTAACGGTGGACTCCTGTCATAAATCTTGTTTGTTTGCAGATTCCATTTGTTGAATTTTTTCTCACACAACCCCTTAAAGGGAATATACAACATTTGCAAACAACAAAAAACAAAACTACCAAATTATTATGAAATACAACTTGACGGTAAGTGGATAACAGTCTCAAGTATCCTGTGAAATCATGGCACCTGGTGTGCTGTCATTCTTAAGAAAAGTGGAATTTTTGTACCAATTTCAAATGATGGTAGGCCGACCATCGTTGGAAAAAAACTGCCTACTGTCTCCAATTTACCAAATTTAGTGCACATTTGTTTGCAATCGGTTACACATCCATGAACAAGTGCAAGCCAGATAAGTCTAGTTCCCTGACGTGTCAATTCCCGGACGTCTATAAATTGTTCCTTTTTGTCTGAAGTAGGGTCAGGGAACCAGAATCCAAAACAGCAATTTTTCTTGGTTTTTCCAGCATCTATGAACACAAAACTTAAACAGGTCAGTATAAAAATGTTTGCTATAAAATGCTAACCCCCAAATCCATTCATTTCTGCAAATACAGCAAAAGAAAATGTATATTACCTTTAAAATTAACTTTAAAAGGCTATTCAAACTTGGCGTAGTCTGACCATGGCATATTGAAGTGTAGCCTTGTGATGTTACAGCCAATGCCTGAAAGACATTTTTTTTTAAATGAGTCATTTCAATTCCATCACCTGTTAACTTCTTAAAAATGATCAAAATTGGCAGCAGTAGTGATGGCACCAACTCACATAAAGAATAGCAGGCAATATAAGTTTGTTTCAATTTTTTATTTTGATTTGTGCGGTTTTAGATTATAATTGCCAAAGTAAAACAAATCATTTAAAATGCAGTAATGAAATAAATAATCACATCTAAAAATAAATAGAAGAAATCGAAACACATACAGTAGGCCTAGTTATTGCGTTTAATAGTTGTTGGTCTTATATTGAATTCGTATAAACAATAAATTATAAGACTTAGTATAGTGTATAAACATTAAGTGTGCACAAACGACAGTGCATCCTAAAATAACGAGAACATAACACGGAACTATTTCATCACCTTTATTTTTTTATAAAGGAGTGACCCTGTCATTTCAACTAGAAAATATGGGTTTTAATATCACTGTTATTCTATCCGCTGAAATTCTATCGGGCGCGGAAGATTTAGTGTTATTGTGCCTGACCCAACCCAACATTATCATATTACTGCTCGGCAAAGCGAGGACAAGAAATAATATGGCGGCTGCCTAATGCCAAGCAATCCTCTGTGGGCCCACAAAGGGTTTAAAGACTACCCATCAATCACCCGGCTGATGTGACATGTTATTTGCTCGGCTGATTGACGTCATCAGCCGTCGTAGCGTGTCACGTGGCTAGGGCGTGTCTTGCTGATTTGCATAAATGATTGATTGATTGAGGGACTCGACACATACACGCAGATATAATGATGGAAGATGCGACTGTCGACATATTGTGCGAGTGCAGGTTGAGTTTTTAGTATTTTTGTTCAGGCCTCGCGACTCCTTTTGAACTTCAAACCTGAAAAGAAATCCGGAAACAACATAATTTGACTTGTCAAAATAAATTGGTGTAATTACAGCAATCAAAAAGACAAATGGGTTTAAATGAGCGTTGATTATCAACTGATTTATATATAGAATTGAAATGCCACAATAGTCAGATGTCATAATTATACGCAATGGGTAACTAGAGTCTATAGTCGAGTTCAATTTCAAACAACATTCTAATGATTTAGCCATTTTTTTTGGGGAACTAATCTTCAGCTGTTGATGTCTTTTAGCAGTACATATTTCAAATGTTCAGTTGTTGGCTCTGAATGAATGAACTTAAAACTTCTTTCTGCATCTTTTTTGGGCCTATTTCTCTGACCAATCGTTTCGTAGGATCTTCGAAATGTCACCTTATCACAACACAAAATTCAAATTCGTACACCAACACGAAATAGTGCAAGTTTATTCAAGTGCATCAAAAATGTTTTAAATTCCCAAACCAAGATTTTCAGTCAATTAATTAGTATTTTTATTGAACAAGCTCTCACCGTTTTTTTATCTACCGAGGATAAGAAAAAATTGATGGCAATGAGATTTAAAAGAAAAAAAAAGATATCTAATTTGTAAAAATTCCCATCAGTATTCCTATAACTGTGTGTGTTTCTTTTACACTAATATTGTTTTATTTTAGATGGTAGTTATAACTTGAGACAAAACACCCAAAGAAAAAACAAAAGGGAGAAACAAGCTGGTATAATCATATGTGAATATTAATCATTGCGATAATAGCGAGGTCATCCCGGATGAGAGCGCGCGT